GCCCAAAATCTTAAACCCCTCTGCAACTCAGACTAACCTGAGCACAACCAAACATAACACTCCCCCAGCCAATCAGAGCACAACCAACCCCCCAGCCAATCAGAGCACAGCCAACCCCCCAGCCAATCAGAGCACAGCCACGCCCCTAACCAATCAGAACACACCTCCACCCAATCAGAACACAGCCAAGCTCCCACCCAATCAGGTCATACCCCCACTGGCAGTTAAAAGGAAGAAACAGCTAAGACCACACATTGCTGCTCAAAGCACGAAGCTGAAAACACCAGCCTGAAGATGACGAATGGGACTTCGTCGAAACGTCGCCAAGACACTTCCAATTTTACGCGGGAGAAAACCCAAACAACCAAAGACCCACATATATATATATATATATATATATATATATATATATATATACATACATACACTATAATTTAATATCCTATATTTAAAGAAGTCTTCCCTTGATGTTATTAGATGTCTAAAAATAGTAGCATCGTTCTTTGCCAAGATTGAACACAGCCAATATTATATTTTAAAGTGCTAATTTTAGCACCTTCACCATCTAACTACTCTATAGTTTGTACCTATGTATAAACTACCTGCTTGCAAAGCCATCTTTATTTAGCCAGATGGTCTAGTATAAGTATTCATATATAATCAACTATTTTGAAACAAGGAAGTGCTATTAACATAGAACAATATTTACATGAAATATTGAATATTTACATGTAATGTAAATAAAGATTCAAACTAGATTTGGTTAAGGAACATTGCAGTTCTTGGGAAACCAATGAGGTTTCTTGTAAATAACTGGTTCCCTGATAACCATTAGTAATTTGGATTAAAAATTAGAAAGAGACGTTGCTTATCTATCTATATATCTGTTTGCTCTTCAGTTGAGGAGTAAAAAAATATTCTTCATAATCTAATGATTATGTGAAGTGAATGCTCTCTTAGAACAGGAAAGATTTTAAATGACCTATATTCTGCCTCCTTCTACAATTATGGCAATTCATAAGTACTTTTCAAAATTACAGTAAAAACCCCCAAAGCATTATTTCAAATCTGTTACAGAACAGAGAATATAAAGTTTGATGATCAGAGACAAACATGGAAGCCATCACCTGCAACAAGTATTTGCAAGCCTGTCCTTTGTTGCTTTTTTTCTGAGTTAGCTTTTCATACTCGCACCAAATGCTGTTCTCCTAATGGAAGGAGGTTATAAATGCCTACTAGTTAGAATGTCCGAAGGAGTATGAATAAGGGAGCCATTTAGTATAATGCTTTAAGTCACTAGATTAGAAATTGGGAGATTGTGAGTTCTAGTTTCACTTTAAGCACAAAGCCAACTGGGTCACCCCAAGACAGACCATTTTCTCTAGGCCCTAGGAAAAAAGGAAATGAAAAAACACTTCTGAACAACTTTCCAAGAAAACTCAGGGACTAATCCAGGCAATTGCCAGAAGTCATACTGACTTGACTTCAAAGCAATACACACACACACAAACACACACAGCATGAATGGGGTAACCCTATTCTATCCTTGCTCTTTGTGGACTTCTCAAATAGGAAAGTATATTGCAGGAACCAAATGCTGGACTAGACAGGCCTTTGATCTAGAGCAGCGGTTCTCAACCTATGGGTGGCGACCCCATTTGGGGTCGATCGACCATTTTACAGGGGTCGCCAAACAAGGCGATCCGCCATTTTTCCCCCTCAGGGGGCGCCGCTGCGCATGCGTGCTGCGCATGGGGCGGCGCCGCGCAAGGGGGGCGCACATGGGGCAGCCCCACCCCCATGCGCGCCGCGCATGCGCGGCACGTTTGTGTTACGGGGGTCGCCATCACACAAACGTTGAGAAACGCTGATCTAGAGTCATAGAATCATTGGGCTTGAAGGGACCTTGGTGGTCTTCTAGTCCAACCTCCTGCCCAAGGCAGGAGACTTTATACTATTCCGGATAAATGGTTATCCAATGGAGCACCCACAGCTTTTGGAGGCAAGTTGTTCCACTGATTAATTGTTCTCAGTTCAGGAAATTGTTCCTTAGTTCTAGGTTGCTTCTCTCTTTAACGAGCTTCCACAAATTGGTTCTCTCCTACCTTCAGATGCTTTGGAGAATAAGTCAATTGCCTTTTCTCTGTGGTAGTCCCTCAAATACTGGAAGACAGCTATCACATCATGTAACTAGGGTTAGACATCCCTAGTTCCCTTAATAGTTTGTCATATTATTTAGCATCCAGACCGCTTATCATCTTTGTTGCTCTTCTCTGCACTCTTTCTAGGCTCTTAGCATCTTTCTTGTATTGTAGTGACCAGAACTGGACACAGTATTCAGGTGTTCTCCCCCTTTTTTTTTTTTCTTGCCTATTTTGACCTGCCTTCCTGCAGATCAGATCTGATCAGATCCCATTGGTTTTAATATTAATTCTGAAGAACAGATTAGTTCCTAGGTTTAAAAAAATCCTTTAACAAGTTCTTATGCATGGGTCAACAATAAGGATGGGCACATCTGCCAACATGTACTCTCACCCCTCAATTATTTGTTGGAGTTTGGTTCATTTACAGTGTAAGTTCCTATAGCTCATTTTTACACTGTTCACAGAGATTTTGAACATACTAGTGTAATGTATATTTATTTATAAATGTATGTTTATGTATATCACTTCTCCCTATAACTAGCTGCATTTATTTCAGCAAATCTGGTAATCAGTTATATTGCCGTTAATATGTGATTAGTTTGGTTTTGATTTAGCAGGTTATATAAACTCACTCATTAATGTTTATGGTATGAACTTAATACAGCTGAGTTGAGTATTATATTGGAGCTCAGCCATTGGGGTCTGGTCCACACATAAAATACTGCATTTGTTCATTCAAACTTTCATCTGAATTGATGTTGTTTACACTTAGTGCTGTATGTGGATAGTGAGACTGGTGGCATGTAAGCTGTATGTATGTATACACACACACACACACACACACACACAGAGAGAGAGAGAGAGAGAGAGAGAGAGAGAGATACATTAATATAGTAACATAAAGTAGTAAGAAACTTATTCCAGTTGTAAGAAAAGCAAATAATACCTAAATGTTGTTTTTGCAGGTATCATACATTTTAAGGGACCAGTATTAAGAAATGCAATAGAGCTTAGAATTATAAGAAAAAGGTAGGAAAAGTTTGCAGCTCCAAAGTCAGGAGTTTTAACTACAAGAGCTCGCACATAATCTAGAAACAAACTGCTTGTTTCGGTTTCTTATGCTTATGCAGCTCAGTTCCAAGAAAACAGGAACTGTGGGTTAAGCAAAACTGCATGTATTGCTAATAGAAAAACCAGCTTAAAGGGCAAAGGTGATTTAGGGAAATGTCAAAAAGAGGGAACTGGGCAAGGAGTGGGGAGGACTGTAATTTAGGGGAGTTCCAAATAGCGGGGAACTAGGCGTTCCAGAAAGTTTGTGAACTTTGTGGTCCTCATCAAATGGGATTGCAAGGGAGGGACTTGAGCTTCGGGCCAAGGGAATAAAATGCTATTGAAATCTATTTGGGATGTGCCTACTTGCTAGCCACCCACTCTTGCAAGAACACATTTTTCAATAAACTGCTTGCTGCTTCTCTTAATAACTCTGTCAAATTCTTGGAACCTGAGTATGTTTCTCACACAGTTAAGATTTCATATGGGAGATAAATTTTTTAATGTTTTTGTTCCAAAAAATACAGGTAGTCCTTGACTTACGACCACAATTGAGCCCAAAATTTCTGTATTTAAATGAGACATTTGTTAAGTGAGTTTTGGACCTCTTTACGACTTTTCTTGCCACAGTTGTTAAGTGAATCACTGCAGTTGATAAGCTAGTAACATAGTTGTAAAGCGAATCTGTCTTCCCAATTGACTTTGCTTGTCAGAAGGTTGCAAAAGGGGATCGATCATATGACCTTGGGACACAGCAATGGTCATAAATATGAACCAGTTGGCAAGCATTGGAATTTTGATCACATGATCACAAGGATGCTGCGAAGGTCGCAACTGTGAAAAGCAGACATCAGTCACTTTTTTTCAGGGCCATTGTAACTAAACAAACTGTTGTAAGTCGAGGACTACCTTTACCAAGGTAATTTATGCCTCTTCATAAACAGAGAACTCGCACTATTATTTCAACTGCTCACTCCCCAGAGTTTGAAATCTGGGTCTCACTCAACCAAGCAGTGGCCTCATTAATGAAGGGAGAAGTGTAGCTTTCTAAATTATATTCAATCTTTTCGACTGTGCCTTTTTCGGCCACTGTCTTGTTCTCAAAAATGACAAAACACGCAGAAAAGGACCCAGGCCAAATGTTTTATAGATGTCACTTGCCACCAGCAAGATTAGCAAAAATGGTTAAAAATATGTCAAATAGATGCTGGAAACATAAGTATAACTCAGGCACCTATTATCATGTTTGGTGGACATGTGGCAAAGCTAAGGTTTATTGGAAAAAGGTACATGCTTGGATAGAAAAGATGTTGGTAGAACATGTTGATTTTAAACCTGAACTTTTCTTATTAGGTATAATGCCAGAAAAAAAAAATAAACAAAGCTTATATTTGATTTTACATATCACAACGGCAGCAAGAATAATTTGTGCGCAATATTGGAAAAATGAAGGATTACCACCGGAGGAAGAATTAATCAAAATAATATTGGAATATGCAGAGCTGGACAGCTTAACTACGAGACTGAAAGATAAAGAAGCAGAATATTACCAAACTTGGGATTTATTTTATCAAAGGCTAGAGGAAAAAATGAAGGATTAGGAACCGACTATGTATTAGCGCTTTTAAACCCAGACAGCACGTTGGTTGAAAAATTAACATATGTATGTAAGAGAAAATTAATACCATCTTGATAAAAAGAAAAAAGAAAAGGATCCAGGCTGACTAACGTTTGGCGCGCAGACTACATTTCCCAGAAGCCCGTAGACCGGCGGGGCGGGAGGAAAAGGAAGTGATGAATGCGCTCATGCATGGTCAAAGGGTAGAAGCACAGGCAGTTTGGGGCATGCGGTTAGTCCGTCGCCTGTTCTGCACGCGGGGCCTGCGATCGTAGTCATGCGTGTGGGATAGAGGTTGTTGTTTCCCCACCCCCACACGCGCGGCGAGAGCATGACGGCAGCTGAGAGAGAGCAGAAAGAGCTGCTGGCTCTGATGCACCAGCAGTTGGTCCAAATGGGTTATGAGAAAGCAGCCAAGGAGTTGCTGAAGCAGAGCGGCCAGGTAACGGCGCCGTGGCCCATGTGGCTGGAAACATGGGGACCCGCAGCATTGTTGCTTTCTTGGAAGGCAGCTGCGGGTCAGGTTGCACGTTGAACTGTTCCCTTCACAAGCTTTCTCCTTTGGCCTGATAACGAGGCTGAAGTAGCTTCTCTGGACGTTTGAAACAGGACATCCTGGTCCTTGGTTTAGTTTATTGTGTTAAGTGGAGGCAGGTATTTATTTTTTTCAAACATGTAGTTTTGTGGTGCGCTCCTTTTGTAGCTTCACTATCTTGGCTTGGAAATCATCGCTAATACTGACCTGCTTTACAGAACTGTTTGGAAGAATGTACTCTTGTTATTAAAACAGTCTGTCTCCTTTCTCTTTGGAAACTTAGGGCAGGGATCAGAATATGTACATTCTCAGGATAAGGATTATTGAAGAGGTTGAACACTTACGTGTCATACAAATTCTAGGCACATTTATGTGTTTAAGCATTCCTGTGCCCGTGTGTCATACCTAAATAAACAGTGGTCGTTGTGATTGTATGGAATAACAAAGGCAAATGCTCATCTAAAAGCAATAAGGCAAGTTGCACCTTACTCTAATTTTGCCCATTTTAGCCTCTGACAGATGTATTTCCAGGCATATGTATCACCAGATGCCCTGATTCCACGTTCTTACAAATACTCTCCTTTATCGGTACCTTCTTAATGTTCATAAGCCACTTAGAGATGTAGTACTAGGTAATGTGAAATGAACATTTAGTAAAACTGCACCGTAGGGATCATCATAAACACTGCTGAAAGAATCTCCTCTTCCCCTGTTTTCAGTTTGGTTTCATTGTGGGAGAAGGCCATAATGGCAACTGCTGTCTAAGTAGCACATGGATTCTGCAGTTCCATCAATTTGGGAATTTTGTTTATAAGTTGAGATTCATTCTCCTGCATCAGAGGCTATAAATAATTAAGACTTTTTGCCCTTTGTAGACATTCCTATGTCTCTGTTTGCAAGACAAATTAAACCATGAGGGTCAGTTGGTAAGTGTGTGTTCTATCTTGCTATTCCCCCTTCACATATGGCTGAAATTGGCCTTTTAAAAGAGCTGAAATGAATGTCCTCTTGGATGGGTTGGAAATCAACCTTGTCACAGATCTTTATGTTCAGTTTCCAGATTTCCAGGATGGAATCTATTTTAATAGCAGTGATTTAGTATGCAGCAATTATCAGGTAAAGAGACATATCAGAGAGAGAAAGATAGAAGTGTTAGTATGGAGAGTGAACAGACCACAAAGTCTTTGTGGATTATAATTCATACGTTTTTGTTTTGAAGCGTTACTATTTGACTAATGAAAATTAAAATGCTATGTTTTTCTGTAAAAGTCTCTGCTATGTTCTTTTTATATTCTTACAAAACATAGTTTTGTAATGATGCTCAAATGAAAAGATAAAGAGCTACATTAGAAGAGCTAAGGACTCATCATTATTGCTTTTTAAAACTTGGGCTGATATCCTTAAACTTCTTAACTGGATTCTTTATATTGTGCTTCTTGGAAAGGTTGAGATTCTACTCACCTTGTATCAAAAAGGCAATCAGTTGTTACAGTCAGTGTAATATTGTAGAAATATTGATCCATCTAAACTGCTTCCACTTTCTGCTCCAATAAGGCTACTCACACACCTGTGCAGACATTGCTCAGTGAGTTATAACTGCATGAATACAGCATTAAGTGGAAAAATGTGGATTTTGAATAAGAACTAATCTGAAAGCACTTCCCATTATGTATTTTACTTATTTACAATATAGTCTGCTTGTAGGCTCTTCTGGCAACTAACCATCCCTGAAAGCAAATCAAGGAAAATAATTAACTTGCTATGATTTGTGTTTTTTTAAATGAACACTGGCAGAGAGGCACTTGCAGATGAAAGTCATGGTCAGTCTATGCTGGGGCAGATGGCATCAGTGCCAACCTTAAAGTCTTGATTTTTGAGTAAGAACATAGCAGGAAACACTTGTTTCCTCAAGTTTTGGAGTCCTGAACCATTTGAATCTTTAAATAGCAAATAGTGTCTGATAAGTAATGCTGGGGTAACCATGTAATTCTTTTAGGATTTGTGTTATGCCATTTCTGAAAGATGTCTCAGATAATAATATATATTATTATATACTAGTTACCTCATTCTGCACTTTTCAAATCATCTGTCACTCATGCTTTGGTCACTTTATGGCTTGACAACTGCAATGTGCTCTACAAGGGGCTGCCCTTGAAGACCACCCAGAAGCTTCAACTAGTTCAGAATGCAGTAGTGCAAGCAGTAATGGGCATGCCTTGGTATGTTCATGTAACACTTCTGCTTTGTGAGATGCACTGGTTGTGAATTTGCATCTGAATGTGAAGCAAGGTGCTGGTTTTACCTAGGGCTAGGTTACTTGAGACACTGCCTGTCTCCCATAGTATTTTTCCAGAAAGCTCAAACTGGCAGAATTGGTGTGCTCCAGGTTCCATTGATTAAACAGTGCCATCTATCAGGGTTCTTCTCTGTAGTAGAGCTTGATAAAGTGGGCTTGACATAAAGTATCTCTCAGTTCTAAATATTAAATCTATGAAAGCATAAAGGAAGAAAGGAATTAGGGTGCACATCAACCCTGCCTCAAAATATAATGTCTTAATAATGTAAAAATTGACTCTACTTATGTGCGCACACACCTGCATACACACACATATAGCAGGCCGCTTGTTCTCTTTAGCCTTTTGTGAAGCCACTATAAATTTTGTTTACAGTGAGGGTGGTTTAGGTTGTGATTTTAACTTTAGAGTGGTGATAAAAAATGGTTAGTTGCAGCTTATTGAGGTAGGCCTAGGAGACATTCTAGTGTTTCTTTTGAAAACATTGTGGTCTTTCAAATTATTTATATAGCTTAAATTGGTTCACAGTATGGTATATCAAAATACTTCAGTAATTTTTAAACACAGTCAGCATGTGAGGTTGTTTACACAAAATTCTGGTTAATAGTCATTTGGGTATTTTTATTTTTATTGAGGTCCTCAACTCCTGTGCATTTATATATCTTCTTGTCTGTTGAAGATCTGTTGCATTTTGTCTTTATTTGAAGATTTACTGCAAAGGACAGTATTTTTTTATATTGCAAAGGACAGTATTTTTTTATATTGTAGTTAGGTTGATTGCAATTCCTGCCATTCTGTATCTGCTGTGTGTCAGACTCCCAACCTGCAAAAAAAAGGTGTCTTAAGTGTAATGAGAGTAATCCTTCCCTGAAAAAGACAGAGCAAGAAAGTAGTTATAATTGCTAGCTAAAGCCACTTTCTAGTAAAGTTGTGCATACTTATTTGAGTGGTGATCCATAACATCTGGACAACTATTGCCTACCCCCTCTGTTAGACAGATATATAAAGAGATATTTAAATCCCACAAATTTAATACATATTTTGATTCTAGAAAGACAAAGCTTGTGGTTGACTTTTATAAGAGCCATACACGTAACCTTATTTCATTCAGTTTTTCTAGTTAACCTGTGGTGGCAAATACCCTGTTACTGCTGTCCTTTTAACCTGTTCTCTCCCTATTGATTGGCCTTACTTAACCTCAAACTACTACAGACTAAGAAGCAAACAACCATTTACTGCTTTGTTTTGTTGAAAAGTAAAAAAAAAACTACTCTGGATATTGAAGCTTCAGAGGAAACAAATATCTGTGAACTTGGGCAAGACAAAGCCATGGCAGAAAATATCTACCTGGAAGTTTTCAGTAAACATTCACTATCTATCTTGGTAAAACTAATCAATGTGCTGAACAGTATATTTTTTTCTGCTAATGAATCTTTGAAGTTTGAGTAGATTGAAAATACTAGTTATACAGTATTTCATTTTCTCAAAACATTTGATTTCAATATTCATAAAAAACCAGTGAGTCTTATTTAAAAATGTGTACCATGGGATTTCAAATTTGGGCTCTGGTCTTATATGCATCCCATTGAAATCAACAGGCATTATTCCTGAGTAACACTGCCTATCATAGTACTGTAAGAATCCTGTGCATATCTTTAAGATAGACCTGGGCATTTTATGGCCCAAGAGGGCCACATCTGGCCCATACGTGGTTCCAGTTCGGTCCGTGGCGGGAGAGAAGGGCAATGGCCAGTCCTCCACAACAGTTCCTATGTGGCCTTTGGGAAAATTAATTTCCCACCTCAGCTTTAAAAGAGTAAAGTTCTACTTAATAGATGCATGTTTAGAATTGTAACTTTAATCCAAAGTTTTGTACTAAAGATTCTATAATAAAAATGATTTAATCATATAAGTCCAATATTTTTTTCTTCCTGTACAGAAGACTTTCCCATCATCTCATATTTCTCTAAAAGAGATCATCGCTCAGTGGAGAAAGTAAGCTTTTCTGTTTATTATTGGAGGGTGGTTAGAGATGTTTTGCCTGTTGCTATCTTATAGCTATACTTAATTGTTATTTAATTCTTTTGTCCTGATCTTGTGAATACTATATCATGCATTCAGTATTGGGTTTTGGACTAGTTTCAAACAACAGTATAAGAAGAGAATTTGTCCGTTGTCAATAACTTACTCAAAAAAGCTGCTTATAGTTGCAACTATATTAAGACAGATACTTAAATTAGCTTTCTTACCTCAAAATATCAGTATTTTAAGCTTTTTGATACCCAAATAATCCTTTTTATACAATAAATTCGTACAAAGCCCAGTAATCTGGTGTATTGAATTACAATAGCAATATGAATATAAAATGCTGATATATTTAGCTAAGCCATTTTGTCCTTTGTGTTTGTTCTCTTGTATACAATAAGAAAATCCTAGGACCATGCTCTTGCAGCTTAGATTATTATGGGACTTAATTAAGTTTTCCATTATAATTTCATGGTCCTACATAGGATATGTATAGCTCTAATTTTATTTTTAATATTAAATTTGAAGTCTGCTGGTCTTATATTTTCTTGAGAAAATGATCAAACTGTATCAAGTCAGATCAAGTTTTTTTCTGTGTAAAGCAAAGAAATGCCAACGTTTATTTCTGCCAAAATAAAAATAGTGCTTCTGAAGAGTGGCATACAGTTGAATACGTTTTGAGGATGTTAGCAAGCCTTATTAACTCCAAGTCAGCATCCTTATAAAATCTGTCTAACAGGACTTTCTTGCAAAATCGAAAACAAAATATGACCATAGAAACCAAGAGAGGCACTCCAGTAAAGATCAGAATTCCTGACCCCAAGAGCAGCTCTGAGAGCTCAGAGGAGGAGGAGCAAGCAGCAGGAACCGTAAAAAGTAAGGGGATAAATGGATGAACCATTCAGAAAAGTTTTCAAATGATTGACTTTGAGAAGAAGAGGGGTGCATGAAACGGGGAGATGTAGATGTCTCATTAATACTTCAAGAAGCTGAACTAAAGGTGCATAAATCCTAAAACCTGCTGGTTTGTGGTTTCTTAGTGGAGAACAAAGAAAGTTGGAAAGCTGGGGCATTAGTGCATTGATAATGGCATGGGTATCGTTTAAGAACACTGTATATCATTTCCTATAAGCTCCAAAAATGAAATAAACTCCTATCTGTGTTAATGTAATACAGAAGGAAATGAGATTGGGAACAAGAGGGAAATTTTAGTTTTTATTCATTTATGCATTTATATATCATTCTGGCAACATTACAAGTTCACAATATTTGGAATACTACATGACTACAACTTTGTGACACCTTATTTTTTATATATAGTATAAGTATTTCAGATTCATTAGAATTGTGATTTGACACTTTAGGTATTTAAAATTCAAATTGCATCCAGTACTTTTTTTCAACCTTATCTGTAGAACGGACCTTTAACCAACACTTTTTAATTGTTGTACAAAAGTTTTCATTGTTAAGGTACAGATATGGCAATTACAAAGCAATGTATTTTTAATTATGGAGATCGGCTATTCTAGTTAATCCTTTTCTTGCAATACTTGGTTGAAAGTCTGTTGTATTTCTTCACAACTTCCCATCTCTGAAATAATAAAACGGAGAATTCAAGAGTAGAAAATAATTAACTTTGAGGAGATTTAAATCAGGACAACCTCAGTACACTTTTATGTATTATTGCTATTTGGCATAACTTGGGCACTGAGTGGTTTGTATTGATATTATTGAGACTGTGTCCGTTTGCACTGGAATGGACAAAATCATTTCAACCAGGTGCTTGAAATAAACTTTTTTAATTAGCATATTTTATTTCCTACCTATCACTCAGTGATCATTTATCCTTTGATAGTAGAGAACAGAGCCTCTTCAATGATTCAGTTTGGCTACTTCCTTTTCTAGAATCTTTTCCATTCTAATTGATTGTAATACAAGTTGGAAAATAAATTGTCTTCAGTCTTTCAACATGATGTTCTTTTGTATGGGTGTTCCAGATAATCTGCCTGCCAATAACAGCACCAAGTCAACAAAGACAGTAACTAAAGAAGAGAGTAGCAGCGAAGATTCAGATTCATCTTCTGAAGAGGAAGAGGAAGCAGTTGCCAAAACGACTGTAAGCAGCAGACCTTGATCACTACTATTCTGCTCTAAAAAAAAGAGGAGTGTATCTAGGATGGTCTGCACCGAGAGTCTGTTCATTTTAAACATATCCTAGAAAATATTTAAAATCTGCAGTTAGGCGCGATTTAGAAAAGTGACTGTCTTGACTAAAGACTTACCTGCAATTCAAAAACCAGAGTCTATAGATTGTATTAATAATAATGATAAAGTTGGAAGGGACCTTGGAGGTCATCTAGTCCAACCCCCTGCTCAGGCAGGAAATCCTATACCATTTTGGACAAATGGCTGTCCAGTTTCTTCTTAAAAACTTCCAGTGTTGGAGCATTCACCGCTTCTGGAGGCAGGTTGTTCCACTGGTTAATTGTTCTAATTGTCAGGAAGTTTCTCCTTAGTTCTAGGTTGCTTCTCTCTTTGTTTAGTTTCCACCCGTTCCTTTTTGTCCTGCCTTCAGGTGCTTTGGAAAATAGCTTGACTCCCTCTTCTTTGTGGCAGCCCCTGAGATATTGCCTCAGTTGTTTTTACAGATAAATTCTGATGCCTCAGGAGCAAACTGTATATTGCTTATTTGTATATTGCTTATCTTTCTTACTAAGAGAAGAAAGTAAAAATGTAAGTTGTCTTTAATATTACTTCATAATGATGTCTTTAATTCAGTGCTATAAAGTATCAGAATATACAAAGACACAGACACGGGAAAAGTTCATAATTTTAAAGTATACTATTAATTGGGTGTCTTTAGCCTTTAGAAGATTTAAGGTATCCAATTTGTTCCTTAACTCTCTCCATTTAAAAAAAGGAGGGGGGGCTGAAACAGTCTCCTCTGGTGATCACAAAGGGGATGCTGATATTGGTCAGATCCCACTTTTATACCCCTGAACATTTTTGGCATACAGAAGCTTTCTAGCCCTGTTGATGGGGAAACATCCATTACACAAGCTGCTAAGTCTGCTGGGGACAAGGTATCTTCCCCCAGCTCTTGACTGTCACACCCTCTTTCAGGTGGCCACTTGGTGATCTGTTGAGGTGATCGCTCCTGAATGGTAGAACAGATGTGCTCTTCGATTTAGAACTGGGGGTGAGGTCTCTCCAGAGCACATGTTAAACGCAATTGTTACTATAAAATCTATGGGAAACCTTTCGTCAGAAAGTTCCTTTGTACGTAGGATATGCAGAAGTATTTATAAACATGATTTGACAAATGTCAGGGAATCTTTTTTTCTTTTTTAACCAACTTTTCTTGTTGTAGGACAAAAACCCCGTGGCTAGGAACAAAACTGAACTTCTGCAACTGGCTGATCAAAATGCTAATTCTGTCCCAGGAAAGGGGGTGACTGTTGCTGCTGCCCAAGCAAAAGGAGAGCAGAACAAATCTGCTTCAAATAAGTCCCTGCCTCCAGCTGCGAGAAAAGCAGGGCCAAATAAAGTTCTTTTTAGCAAAGCAGGACCTCCTGCGCAGTCACTGATTTCAGGAGGGCAAAAAACAACACAGACCACAAAGACAGCAGAGAGCTCCGAAAGCAGCAGCAGCAGCAGCAGCAGCTCATCTGAGAGTGAAGAAGAAACAACTTTGACCACAGTAAAAGCCCCACCTTCCAAACCAGGTAGGTATAGGGCTTAAGATCTCATTGTGGTGTTGCATAGGTAGTGCTCTAAATTTGCAAAAGGCTCTCTATTGTCTTACCGATAACGGTGCAGATGTGCTACAGTAGTTTTACCTCCGTCCCTCACTCAAGTAATCTCAAAGTTCTTACCCAAGGCTGAAGGAAAATTCCAAACTCACTGTCAAGGAGAATATTCCTTTTGCCAGTTGTGAAAGCATCTTAAGATACCCTTTCCCAAACTGTGTCCTTCAGATAGGCTTGATGAAATTTTTGGAAATAGAATCTAAACGCCACCAGGGAGACTGCCTTAAATGACCTGTAGGATAGGTATTTATGCAGTATAACACTGCTATAATGAGCAAAACTAAGGGGTTTTTTTTTATGCGAATCCAGATGCTATCTATAAAGACTGCACTTCAAGAAAAACAGATATTAGAGTTCTTTCTACAAATTTGGGACTCAAAACAACTTTTTGAGCTAAAAAGGCGCTTGCCTTGATGAAGTGTATGTAATCGTGTGACATTTAACATGTGATCATTGTGTTCTGAATATGTGGATAAGGATTGAAGGGTGTCTCCGCAGTGTCATAGAATCACGATTTTTATTTTTTGGCTTCAGAATCTTTTGCAGAGCTAGCAGGACTTACCTGTTACATTGCAAGAACCTTAGATGCTGAAGCTATTTCTGGTTACTGTGTTTGGTGATGGTGGGATCGGCCCCACTTCAAATTTGTACTCATATTTTAAACTTTGATATGTGGAGCAACAAAGATAACTTTGGATATCCTATAATTTAGTCTTGGTAGCCATAAAAGCTGAATATTTTTAAAAAGTGATCTCCTTTGGCATCAAATCCTCTTTTCTATATTTTAGCTTTAAAGAAGGCAGCGAGCACAAGCAAGGACTCAAGTGATGATTCTGACTCTGAAGACGGGACAAAAGCACCAACAGTCCAAGTAACTCCAGTTAACAGTTTTCTAAATTAGGGGAAGAGCATGTCCTTTTTGTTTGTGCCTGGAAGCTAGCTAAATAATTCACTCATTTGACACAGGCAGAGCAGGGAAAGTGCCTTTGAGAAAGAATACCCTTTGCTTCTCCCCATTTGGCCGTTTTCAAGGGGGAGGATATGTTGAGGAAAATTTATAGGATTGGACAACAGCTCCATAGCATCAACCTCCAGACACTGTTCATTTGTTTAGTGTGCATTTTTGTCCTCAGAAGATGCTCAGAGAAGACATTATGAATCCAACGCACCCTTTTCCTAAAGTGAATAAAATTACAATTCTTTTTTTTTATTATTGAAAAGTTTTATACAAGTTTTTAACAATATCCCCACCTAGAATAACTCCCTCCCTCCCAGAGCTGGTTATAGGGTTACAAATAAACAAGCAAATTCTAAATAAACTTATCCAACTATACAAATAACAAAATCAATAATGTGCTTTAGCTCGAATACAAAACAAATTTAAGCAAATCTTAAAAAAAATAACAATATAAGCAATTCCAAATTAAAAACTAAAAATTATTCATAATCTAAATAATACTTTTTAATCCCATATCAACTCTAATCATAATTTATCCATTAAATCCCATATTCTCCAGCACTGGAGATGGATAATCCACTCAGTGGGTTGAGACTGTATTCCTGCCCAATCAAATCAGTCAGCCAAAGTTGCCATGCCCGTCCTGGACCACGACTTCCCAGTCTTGACTGATCTTGCCCAGAAGATAGACGTTTTCAACTTTGGCTCCTAGGCAGGTATAGTCTCTCCCATTGGGGGATTATTTCTACTGCAGCTAGGATTTTTAGCTTAAGCTAGTTGGAATTAAACAGGTTATTTTAATTGATTACTCTAAAAATTTCTAAATTCTCCTAGAGCGGGAACTGAAACTTAGACCCCAAAGGGGATTTTTTCCCTAGTAAAGAAGGGAGGGAGGCTCTTAGAATCCTCCCTGTCCCAATTCCCTCCCCCTCTGTTATCCACGTCGGACGGGTTTTCCTTTTAACATATGTTAGTGCCGGGGAGCAAAAAGGACACGCGCGTGGGGAGGGAACGCCGGGGACGCTGGCGGGCGGCGCTAATCAGCTGGGGAAGCGAGTCGCCGCTTTTTAACTCACCGGGCGATCTCCGAGAGGTTTCAAAAGAGCCGCCATTGCAGGGGCAGCTCAGCGCACGCGCGGCCTTTGTCTTCCTCATGCAATTTATCCATCTTCTCCATGCCGAGGTGTATATTTCTTTTAAACAACCATTCATCCATAATAAACACAAGATTTTCCCTCCAATATAACCCAACCAACAAACTTACATTCGATAAATTTGGCTCTTTGCTTTTTTTTCCCCCACCCTTAAGTAAATTTATTAATACCCTCCTACTTAAAAAGTTTTAGCAAACCATTCATCTTCATCACTAAAATTGTCACCAACAGAGATCATTAGAATTTAAATTCTTTTACACCTTTACCCATAATAGCTCATAATTATTTTTATACACTTTAAATTAAAAAATATATAATATATACTCCCAAATATTTAAACTTTTCCACTAAATCAACACCTCCTATTATTACAATTCTATATAAGCTGAAATAGAGATGGAGGAATAGGGGAATTGGTCCTCTAATGACCAGTAAACACTGTAGAGCTAATTAAAATATGCACTCAAGTTTGACGGGGTTCTAAATTTAAATGAACCTGCCCCCATTATTTGAATCTCTTGCCACATCACTACGTTTGCGTCCAAGAAAACCTGAGATGTTGGATGGAGCTTTCCAACCTCTGCTCTTGTCCAGACATTAGCTTTTTCTCTACCAAGAAATAATTCAGAGGAATTGTTTGTCCTATTTCTCTCCCATGTGCATCTTTGAATCGACAACAGCATTGTCTCTAGTGCTAAAGTCTGAACTGGCACTTGAGGACTTCATTCCAAGAATGGGGAAGGGAATACATTATAAGCTATTCTCCCTACTTCTGTAGAGGGCGGAAAAGTGGACATCAGAATGGTTATGAGAATGTGAAATTGAGATTCTGAGCAGAATATAATTCTTATTCCAATTCTCATTCCAATGGGACACCAGGCAGGCTAGCATTGATTATCATAGTCAAATTTGGCATCTCACTTTGAAGAGAAGCTCCCCCGTGGTGTGGTTTTGTTTGACTAGGGGGAAAATAGGGTTGATTTATCTCTCTTAACTTTGACACGTGAGCCATGGCCAAGTTCAGTTTTCCTTTTCTCACTCCTACCCCAGTCATAGTTATTTTTACATTTTCTTCTTTTTTTCTCCCGTCCAGGTTCTAAATTGCTTTTCTCAAGAGGCTTTCTCCCTAAGCTTGACCCTCTTCTTCATTTCCTTCTCCTAGTGGGAAAGAAAGAAAACTTCTCTTGCCCAAAGAGGTTCCAGGAAATGCAAGAGAAAAACCATACTTACCTTTTGCTTCCTTTCTCCTAAGACTACATAAGCAACTTTCCAGAGTTTTGTTAGTACGAAAGAATAACACTGGGATATGAGTGGATGTATTGTCCTCTACTTATCTCCTCCAAGTTAGAGCAATAGATTAGACTTGATAAAATGACATTACTCAATATGGTTCAAGTATTAACTGGGTTTATCTTTCTCTTGTCCCAACTTGACTGTTCCAATGCATTAGCTGGAATATGCATCTTTACTAGCCAATACATATGCTGTTCATCCCTCCCCATCCCACAATACAAGAATATTTTTTTAATCTTTCCCTCTAGATTAAAGCAGCTGTGCAAAATCCCCCGATCAGTAGTCCACTGCTGAACAAGTCACCTGTCACTCCTGGATATTCTGCAAGAAATACAGTAAAGGTAACCACACCAAAACAAGCCAGTGCAAAATCTGGAAATGCAAACAGAAGCCCAGAATCAACAGACACTTCAGAAACTACTGACTCATCGGATAATGAGACTAAAGCACCTGCTTCAGTATCACAGGTGAGATGCGTTGGTAAAGTTGACCAAGATACTAATTCCAATAGCTGAAGCCAATAGGTACAAAATGTAGGAAAGGAAAACAACTGGAAACGTTTCCAGTAAATGTCTGGAAATCTGCCATATATGAATTATTGGGCAAACACTTACTGCCAGCTATTCCTGTGGAATCTAAAGAGCTATGGGAGCCGATTTATAATTTTGAGAGATAAGAATCACTTAGTGTGAACTAAGTTCTCACCTTGGTATGACAGATTGAAACTGGAATATAAAGTAACTTAAGTGTTTAGTTAACATGATCTTCTGCAAATTTCACTAGACTTTAAGATTACAGACAATGCCCACAAAGATATCTTTTTTCACTTGTTGCTGAACAAAGATTCCACCCTTATGGCAGTTTTGGGGCTGAGCATTTACTAGATTGTCTTTTACCCTGCCCATTAGTGGAAAAGGTATACCGTCTTTCAGTTCAATTCTGATATAAAAAAAAAATGCTTATCTGATTTTAATGAAGCCACGTCACAAAATGTAACTTGATTCGTACAAACTGCACAAACGTTAATCTAAAACATTAAGAAATGTTAGGACTTCTACAGCATTGAATAAAATACATCCACTGCTTTAAGTGTATTTTAATGTAAAATACAATTTTAATGTGCCTTTATCGTTTTAAAAGAATGCCAAGGTCCTGTACATTTTTAATAAATAATTTTGAAAATGATCTCCATCTAGATATATTCATCCAGCAGACTAACATATCAAACAGGGGAAGGAAGTGTGTGGCTCTCCAATTTGTGGTTAAATAATTCAAAATAGTGACTGAATTTTCATCTACTGTAAGTTCATTAGAGGGAAAATATAGTTGATGGATTTATTCCAAGAAGGATTACCAGTGGCGTACAGTAAGTGTTAGGTGATGCAGAAGGTTGAAGTAGTCAGTAAAATGAATTCTGCCAAGAGATCCAATAGGCCAGGCATGTCAAACGGCCGGCCCGCAGGTCAGATGCGTCACACCAAAATCGCGCCCACCCGATTACCGGCAATAGAGGAAAAGTCACGATACATCGTGCGACATTATGTGACGTCCACAAGTTTGACATGCCTGCAATAGGCCCTGGTTTGTTTGCCTTCCAATAGCATCTGCCTCCCAGGTCCATCCCTCGCCTTCACAACTGCAGCTTCCATAACAATGAACCACATTGTGCTGTTTTGAGTTTGTTGAAATACTGTTACAGTAGTAATAGTTAAGCAAAGGGGCAACTGTGCACGAAGCATAGCCAATAATGTATTACATCCTGATTTATTTATTTTTTTAAAAAAAAAATCCTTACTATTTATTATTTCATAATGTCTGTACCCTTCAGTTATTTATACATAACATAAACCCTTCACCTAATGAAAGATCGAAATAGAAACAGTTAATTCATGATTGCTCTTAAATATCAGTTCTGTTCAGCATTCTTTGCTATGTATGCATATACAATTCTGTTCTTACCCTGTGAACTGCTTGAAGCATTTGAAAGTTCTGTAGGTATATGCACATAAAATATACACACAAAAGAGTTATGCGTTGATTTAATTTTTTTATATTGCTCTGTATTTAAAAATAAAGTTCAGAAGTTGAAAAGAAGAAGTTGACCTAGCTTCAGAACAATTTAGCCTGCTTCCCAAGCCTTCTCAAGATCTGTTATGCCAGAACGTCTCAGTCAGGTTCAGGAACTCTGACATACCATTTCTCTAATCTCTTAATAATAGTTAAAATTATCTCAAAAAAAAATCCTCAGGCCTTCAAAGTACCAGCAAAAAATGCAGCTGCAAGTCCATTAAAGAAGACAGTTTCTGCTTCTGTTCCCTCAAAATCCACCCAGAAGGCTCCCACAACCAGCTTATCAAAACCACCGCCTCCTTCAAAAGAAGCTCAGAGCTCAGACAGCAGTGACTCATCATCCGAGAGTGACAATGAGACTCTGCCGGTTCCCATAAGTCAGAAGGTTGGTGTTTTTCCTCAAAACTCTAGGAACCTTGGTCTTTGTTTTTGCATGAGCTAGCTAGCCATTGTAAGATGATTTGCTTATTTTTTTTGAAGAAGACATTTACATTCCTCCAGGGTAGCATTTCTGGATAGTGTAAAAAAAAACCCAATATGAACGATGAACAGCTAATTCAGGATCACTTTTAAACACCAGTTTTATTTGGTAACTCGTTACTATGCATGTACAGTATATACAGTATAATTCTATTCTTACCCTGGAACTGCTTGAAAGCATTTGGAAAATTCTGTAAGTATATACACACAAAGTAGTTATGCTTTTATTGATTTAAATTGTGATAATGCTCTATACTTATAAAGTTCAGGGGAAAGATGCTGATATCGTTTAGAGAACAATTTAACCTATGTTCCAAGCCTTCATTTTGATTTATTACACCCAGAGTGTCATATTCAAGTTCATAAATTGATTTATACCCTTTTTCTAATCTCTAACCATAAGTTAAAATTATCTCAAAAAAAAAAAATCCTCAGGCCTTCAAAGCACCGGAGAAAAATGCAGCATCAAGTCCATCAAAGAAGGCAATTTCTGCTTCTATTCCATCAAAATCCACCCAGAAGGCTCCTGCAACCAGCCTATCAAAACCACCGGCTCCTTCAAAAGCAGCTCAGAGTTCAGATAGCAGTGACTCATCATCTGAGAGTGACAATGAGACTCTGCCGGTTCCCATAAGTCAGAAGGTTGGTGTTTTTCCTCAAAACTCTAGGAACGTTGGTCTTTGTTTTTGCATGAGCTAGCTAGCCATTGTAAGATGATTTGATTATTTTTTTAATAAGATATTTACAGCCTGCTAAGAGAGCATCTTTGGGTAGTGTAAAAAAAACATAAACATTAACATGGTTAAACATTAACCTTAAAAAGATTTAACTTGCTAAAATACACGAACAAGTCAAAAATGTCATAATTAAGATAAAATGGTCATCCCCTCTTTCCACAACTAGATATTGGAATCTTCAGGCTTTGAGTGATTTCCTAAAAACTTAAAAGAAAGTGAAGCAGACTTCTGGAGTGCATATTCCACGAACTGTGACCAAAAAATGGCAGCCTTCTGGTCCATGGGCCTTTTACCTCTCATGGAAGTGATCTTAAGAGACTTCCTCTAGAGCAGAGGTTGCTGGCTCAGGAATTCTGGGAGCTGAAGTCTACAAGTTATTAAAGGGCTATCATTTCCCATCTCTGCTCTAGATCAGGGGTGTCAAAATTCGATTTCATTGTGGGCCGCATCAGGGTTGTAGTTGATCCTGGTTGTGGCCAGCTCAGCGTCACTTGTGTCGGGGGGCACCCATGGTGGCCCAGGCGGGGCTGGAGGGGGATCCATTGTCTCCAGCCAAGGAAGGTGAGACCAGGGCGAGCACCATACCCTTGTCCACCAGAGGAGCCTTGTCCCTCTCAGGCCATGTGGAGGACCCCTAAGGATGCAGGCTGCCCGGAGCCCTGGGCAGTGGAGGGCAAGCACCCAGTCCAGCCTTTCCCAAGGGGGTGCACGGCTGCGCTTACTTCCTCCTCAAGGCTGCTGCTGATTGGCTCGCTCTCTTTGGCCATGGTGTGTGCGGGAGGACAAAATGTGTGGGTCAGAGGGAGGTCCACTCCCTCTCCCCACGAGGAGACCAGCTTTTTAACCAAAGCATCCTCAGCAATAGGACAGGAGACCACCGGGAGGGGTCAGGAAGAGGGGACAAGGATGGTGAAAAGGCAGCAGGGCTGCTTGTAGCCAAGTGCTGAGGCGGGAATTCCCTCAGATCCTCTCTCCCTCTCATTATAATCTTCCTTCCTTCCTTCCCTTTTCATTCTCCTTTCCTCCTTCCTTCCCTTCTTTCCTTCTTTTGTTTGTCTTTCTCCTTTCCTGTCCCCTCTTGGATGCTCAAATGCAAAAGGGGAAACATTTCTCAATGCCTTCTTGCCTTATGATAAATGCCAGTTAAAAGACTGAGAACAAACCATGCTTGCATTTAGTGGGGGTGTCCACAGACAACAGTACAGCAAAACTGTCAAAATGGTGGCTGTGATAGTTGATCAGAGCTCCTCTGTTTTTTATGCGCAACAGCTTTAGCATTTAGGAACAGAAGTAAGTTAGTTGCTTTTCTATTAATACATAATCCTTAAAAGGGCTTTCCTGTAGGGACCCTGCCATGGTCTATTTCAGACTGTAAATTTAGCAAAGGAAAATATTTTTCCCCACTCTGCTTTGTCCTGTTTTCCCTACTGAAAATGACTCTTTGCAACACACAAGTAGGGGATGCTTTCCTAAGAGTTCACAATTCAACAACACCATGTTAACTTGGATTGCCAACAAAGTCCTGTCTTGACAAAACCGAACATAAAATTGCTTTCTCCTTTGAGCCCAAGTCTCAATGTATCCAGGATTGAAGCACAACTGCATGAACTGGGGCATCTCCAAACAAGTTGCCTCTCCTTCCTTCCTTCCTCTTTGCCTCCTTCATTGTCTCCCTCTTTCTTTTTTCCATCTTCCTTGTTTCCTTGCTTGCTTCCTTCCTCCCCTGCTTCTCATTCCCATCTCTTTCCTTCCTCCATGCTCAGGAACGAACAACAGGAGGGGGAGAGATTGTCAACACTGCCAGTGGCCATGCTGCCACCGGCCATCACTATCCCATGCGGGCAGAGCCGGTCCCAGTGAAAGGGAAGCCTCGTGACTGCGAGGCTAGGTCAGCGAGGGGGTCATGGAGGTGCTGGTCAGAGTGGGGATGGCGCTGATCTACAACCTGGTTGCGTCCATCAAAGCCAGAATGCGCTCAGCCTTAGATCCACGGGGCAGCCCTTGAACCAGCGAGGAGCCACCCTGCCTCCTCCGCTCTGCCCCCTGGGTATGCGCATAGGAGGCAGCCAGTGCCGGCATCTGAGTCAGCCTGCAGGGCAAGAGAGCCAGCTGGGATGCCGGGTTCCGCCTGCTCGCCGCCTCCTGCGCATGCACCCAGGGGGCGGGGCGGGGGTGCCCGTTGCTGGTTCCAAGGCTGCCCCATGGATCTAAGGTGGAGCGTGTTCTGTCTTTGATGACTGGCACCAGGTTGTAGATCAGTGTCCGGTCAGCCTGGGCTGGGCCGAGGTGCTATGGGCCAGTCCTTTGCTGTTTCCAGTGCAGCTCCATGGGCCAGATGCAACCAAATGGTGGGCCGGATGCGGCCCGTGGGCCTTGTGTTTGACATGTCTGCTCTAGATGATCCAACAGAATACTTTTGCACACAATGGTCTTTCTTTACCAGTGTGTGTATCCCATATCTTAAAGCAATATAGTTCTAGCTCTCTCCATTGAGACATCTCGGAAGCCTAATATAAGATACACCTATTATCTGCTCCATCTTTCATCTGTAAAATTTGGTCTCTGCTTTGCCTCTTGCTGCACCTTCCTGTCTTTTCCTTCCATCGAGATAAGTCTGTCCTTTTGTATAGTGCTGCTTTTGTACACTTCTCAGTAGAAGGTGAATGGATGTGTTCCTTTTTGAATGTTTAATATACATCTCCTTTGGTTGCTCCTCTGTGAGCGCCACGGGAGTCGGCAGAGCCAGATCTTCAAACTCTTTTGAAAAGCCAGGAGAAAATATGTATTATGAATGAAAGATTTGTGTAAAAGCAGGCACCTTCATTATCCAACATATACGTTCAGTTATCACAGTTAGGCTAGTTACATTGATTTGAAAAGAAATAGGCCCAAAATGACAAAATTGTGCATATCAGCTGACTAGTAATAACAGGAACATCCAAATTACTGAGATTGAAGACTTACAAAGGCAGAAGAAAGTTTAAAAAGGCCCATTTCAATAACTCTTTTCCCTTTTTGGAGAACATGCCTTTTGTCGCCAGCGATTGTCAGGTGTATTTTGCGCCGTATTTTACACCGTCTTACAATATTCATTGTTGTCACACAGAGGAATAAGAAAAAAAAGAACTGATGTTAGGGACCTAGCAGCCTCGGTATTGCCCTGTTTACAGATGAAAGTGCTCAGAAAATTCTTTCTTTTCTTGCCTCGTTTTTTTTGTTATTCTCCCCAGAGTTCTTAAAAATACAGCAGACCAGATGCTGAGTTTCTTGAAAAGACAGCTTTGATTTAGCTTCCTTGGCGGGCTTTGAAGGCTGGTGTAATTCAGCAACCGTAGCTTGTACCGCTCACCACTGTGTGGCTTCCTTCTGTAGCAGTTGAATGGCTGGCTGTCTTTTGTAAAAGTAGTGCTTTATTCCCCTTCTACTTTCCAAAATAAACTCTATTGCAAATACATCTCCATGAGGCTGTAATATTTATACCCTGGGCATCATCCACCTTTAGTACTAGCAAGACCAAAGGATTTCAGATCGGATATTTGTTGTGCATCATTCAAGAAGCAATTGATCTGACAAATTTAAACGCACATTTAAATGTTATTCATTTGTTTATAAAATTTATTGGTTGCCCATGTTACCACAAAGTAACTCTGGGCAGCTTACAATCTTAACAAAGCAAAAACTATACAAAGCTAAAAGACATAAATAAAATACTATGAAATGTATTTTATTGTAAATAAAATGGTACCCCCCCCCAAAAAAAATCTGATATTTAAATTCCTAAGATAGGTCTGGCAGGCAGATTAAGGTTTTGAATCTGTTTAAGGCTACAGTTCTAATTGGGACCAGAATTTCCATCCCTAAGCAAAGTGGTCATTAAGCAAAGCCTCACACTTAGTCAGTTGTGGTCATTGCTGTCTTTAATGCTGGGAATACATCTTTTCGATTCTGTTAGAAATTGAAGAAGGAAGAAAAGGTGCATGAAAAATCAATGAATTTTACATGTTTGTCTACCTGTTTTTTTCCTTGAGGTGCAGAGATTAGCAATTCCACACCCTTCTGTGAGGACCAGACAAAATCAGGCCAATCAGCCTGGGATCCTACCCAAAGCTGCACCAGGTACTTTGAAGGAGAAGAAAGCACAGAATGAAAGCAGCAGCAGCAGCAGCTCCTCTGACAGTGAGGATGAAACTGACCTTACAACAAGCAAACTGCCAGCTCCACCTGGTAAGAAGACTCCAGCCCTGTTGACGCTCATGGAAGGAACCTTTTATTTTCAGCGGCTCTACTAATTTCTTTGCTTAGCAGCTTGACAGGGAAAGGACACAAAATAACAAGGAGACACACAAAATGCATTCTGAAGTGCCAACACTCGGAGCTGATGGCAGTATTTCGAAGCTGACACAAGAGATATGTTAGCATCTTCAATTTTGCCTTTAGCCTATAGTTTCAGTGTGCCTCACCAATTAGCTGATGCTCCCTTTATTTTGAACGAAACTGGATGTTCTTGTCCTTTGTGGTGTTGCCAAACCCAGATTAATTTCTGAATGATGAGTTTTTCTAAAGATGGAAGAAAACCAGTAATAAACAGGTTCTTGATTCTGGGTTATTCATAACTGAAAGCAGTTGATACATCTTAATCTGGTTAATTTTAATGGTTCTTGTTCTTATGAAGAAGTCCTAGCAAGGCCAAGCATAGCTGTTTTGTGCTTTAAAAACAATCCCATTCTTTCAATAATTAATGGTGTCAGATAATGGAGTATGGTGGATCTTATTAATTGAACAGTATTATAAATAAGAATTTGCTAATCAGCTTATGTTTTTTTGACTTATTTTCCTCCATCATTTGTAGGCAATATTTTCATCTGTTAGAGTGAAAGTACATATTTTTTTCAGCTGTATTAAAGATACTTTTTTACTTCTATTTGCAACTTTCTCCACCGTATCATACATAGATTTTGAACAAAACTTCCCTTTGCTAATATTAAATCCTTCAGAAATATTTTTAACTTTAAGTGTTCTCATTGTTAGTTCTCTGTGCAAATTCTTCTTTCAAACCTGTGCCCTGTTTTACAAACATCTGAAAACATAGATTCTTGTGTAGTTTTGCCTAAAGAAATAGAGATAAGCAAATTGTGTTAAGTGTTTCCATCAGTGCTACAGCTGTTGACAGATCTCATAAATTTGTTCTCACAGTAATCTGTGAAAAATCTGTTTTACAGCTGTAACAAGTGTTGAGTTGTTAATAACTATGAGAAATGATATCACCTGGTGCTTTAAAACAATTGACTGAGGAATTCAAAACATCTTTAGAATGTTTTTTTTAAAGGAGTCAGATTTTCCTGGAGCTTAAAGTCTATCATCTCTTCACCAGTTCCTTTGGTGTAGTAGGTTTGGCACACAACTTTAGAACTGTAGCAGTTTTTAAGTGGTGTGTATTTTGAAAATCTAAACTAAAGGCATCTTCCTGCAGTTAACTTTTTTTATTTTTATTGTGCTATGCACAGTTAGTCCTTGACTTACAACCCAAAATTGAGCCCAAAATTTCCGTTGCTAAGCAAGATAGTTGTAAAATGTATCCCATTTTTTTACAACATTTTTGCTGCAATTATTAAATGAATCATTGCCGTTGTTAAGTGAATCAGATTATTAAGCGAATTTGGCTTCTCCCATTGACTGTTTATTGGAAAGTTAAAAGAGGTGACCATATGATCCCAGGACAGTGCACCTTTCATAAATAAATGCCAGTTGCCAAGCACTGAAATTTTGATCATGCGACCATGGAGATGCTGCAACAGTCGTAGATATGAAAACAGTCATAAGTTACTTTTTTCAGTGCCATTTGAACCATCACTAAACAAATGGTTGTAAGTCTAGGACAGGGGTAGGCAACCTTGGCTCTTTTATGCTGGCTCAGGAATTCTGGGAGTTGAAGTCCACGAGTCATAAAAGAACCAAGGTTGCCTACCCCTGGTCTAGGACCACCTCAGTTTGCTTATTTAAAAAAATTGCAGCATCCATAGTCAGCCCCACTGTTCTTGTGTCTGTCATAACCAGGTAACTGCTAATGAGATGTAAATTTCAATGCTATAATTAGATTCTCCTAGCCTTTTTGTTCCAAAGCTGGCTTGGGGGGGGGGGGGGAATCAGCATGACTGGTTTTGATTTTTTTTTTTTTTCAGTATCAGGAAATTGTGGATAGTTTCACAAAATAATGGCTGTTCCTAAGGTGTGTTCAGTTTTAGGGGATAGGGTGGAGGGGTATTTCTTCTTCTTTTTATTGGTTTTATTCATTTATAACATAAAATGCGAAAATACAAAAGCAAACAGTAGGGGACAACATAGAAAAAGTGAAAACAAAAAAGGTGTGAAGAAGGGGAGGGGAAGAAACAAAAGGCATTGGCTTCCGACTCTCTCTGTTACAATAAAATGAGACATTAAAATCAAATCTTATCTATTTTACATTTCTATAGTAGTATGCACTAGCCATTTCTGTATCGGCAAATCAGTCTAATTGGTAAAACCCAAAATCATGATTGAGGCAACCATTGAGGCATCCTTCCACTTTTGTGCATAGAGCAATCTTGCTGCTGTCACCATATATAAAATCAGAGTTCCAGGTTTTTTTTCCAGTTCTCTTTCCATTAGACCCAGGAGGAAAATTTCTGGTTTAACCTTTATGTTCAATTTAAGAATTTTCTGCATTAATATATGAATCCTACTCCAATATTTTTTTGCCTTATCACATGTTCACCATAAATGATAAAAAGTCCCTTCTTTACATTTACATTTCCAACATTTATTTGAAATAACTTCATACATTCTAGATAACTTATCTGGTGTTAAATGCGTACCAGCGATACATTATTTTGTAAACATTTTCATTTAGGTTATAATTTAATATGAATTTTAAACCTTTTATCCACATATTCTCCCCTTGTTGGGAGAATTGGGAGTCTCTTCAAGATTGTGTCTTCCCTCTCCATCCAATTAACCTTTTTTCTGATAGAGGTAATCCTCAACTTACAACAGTTCATTTAGTGACTGTTTGAAGCTACAACGGCACTGAAAAAAGTAATTTGTGACTTATGATCACGTGGTCAAAATTTGGACACATGGCAACTGACTCGTGTTTATGACTGTTGCAGTATCCAAGGGTCATATAAACACCTTTTGTAACTTCTGACAAGCAAAGTCATTGGAGAAACCAGATTCACTAAATGGCCCTGTTATTAACTTAACAACTGCTGTGATTCACTTAACAACTATGACAAGAAAGATCATAAAATGAGGCAAAATTCACTTAACAGATGTTTTGCTTAGCAACAAAAAAAGTGGTTGGGCGTTGTACACATTTAAATATACTTCTAAACTGCCTATGATACAAAAATGTATTTCAAAAAGGCAGTTCATAACATGCCAACAAAATGCAGATATCAAAATGTATCACATCTTGAAATCATATTGCTTGAGCTGTCTCATACAACACTTAAGAGAAAACCACTGAGAATCGACACATCTTCAGGGCTGTTGGCGAAAGATAGCAAAGACGAGGAAGGAGTGAGGCTGTGTGTTCTAATTGTACAACCTTTTACTTGTATTTAAAACTGACCGAGTTATCATTTTTCTCTCTCTTGATTGCTTTCAGCCCCCAAAGCAACTCGTGCAGTTCAAAGTGTAGGTACGTTGAAGCCCCAGCCTCCAAAGGGATCCCATCAGAAGGCCCAGCAGAGCGAAGATAGTAGTGAAGATTCAAGTGATGACTCTGACTCTGAGGAAGATAGAGTGGTCACTCAGGTAACCATAGAGAAATCTGTGGAAGAAGAAACACTGTTCTCTCTTCTTTCTTTCTTTCTTTCTTTCTTTCTTTCTTTCTTTCTTTCTTTCTTTCTTTCTTTCTTTTTCTTTTTTTACAAAACCCACTGGAGCGGTTTTGGGTTTTTTTTAAGGCTGTGAACGTTCAGGCACTATTGTTTGTAATTGGCTGTTTTAGCAGTGAGGAGAACAAGGGGCTGAAAGGGCACTTCTACCTGAGGAATGAAGCTGTGAATTCAAATAAGAGTATTTGGCTAATTTTATTGCATCATCATTGTACAAAAGTGGGTGATCAAAAATGTGATGTAAGAAGATTAAAACTACCACAATTACCACTTAATACCACAATTGCCTTCTTTTCATTTTTTTTTCCCAGCTACAAAGTACTACTTAAATACTTTGCTTTGCTTTAAACATTTACAGTTCTTTACACCTGAGCCATTTTTTTAAACCAGTTTCTCTCTTTTCTTTACACTGACTTAACTTGCCTTGCTGGGTAATATGTTGTATGTGAGGAAGCCATTCCTATTTAAATTTGGTTAGATTTCTCTTATGAATACATACAGTAAATTTCTCAGTTTTTGTTTGCTTGTGCTTCTTGATCCTGTATGTTCCATGATTAATTTTTCTCTGTGTTAACAAACTGACATGGTCTTGCTTTATGTGTATTTCTTATATCAAAAATATAAGCTTTATATATTTGGAGCTTGTCAAAAATTGTTCCCTTTTTAAGTAAATTGAGTCAATTTACATTTAATGAAATTAATAATATTTTGGATTCAGGGATTTTTTTCCCCTGTTTAATACTGCACTTATGCCAAATTTCTCCTATTTTTCATCTCTGGTACCAATCTGAACAATAGAACATTGTTTTGTCCATTGAATCTTTCATATAAGGAGGAAGCCTCTGTGATTGTTCCAATAATTGCTGTTTTCAAAAAGACTTCCAATACAAATAGAATTTTCCATCTAATTCAGGGGTTTCTGACCTTGGCAACTGTTAAGACTTGTGGACTTCAACTCCCAGAATACCCCAGTCAGCTATTTGGGACTTGAAGTCCACAAGTCTTACAGTTGCCAAGGTTGGACCACCCTGATCTAATTTGTTTGATTCCTATAGCCCCTATAAGAAATGTGAATTGTCTCCTTTAACATTCTAGGGGAGATAACCTTAAAATATTTGAAATAGTTTCCTTTCTATAATTAAAGGTATCTCAGGGCCAGGTTCCAAGATATGGATAGGTCAGGTCCAATACTGGCTGTGGAATTCTGGGAGTTGAAGTCCACATGCCTTAAAATTGTCAAGGTTGAGAAACACTGCCTTAGCCTGTACCAATCCATCTTTGGCCAACATGGGGGCTAAGAAGCTAGGAATAGCCCTCTAGCCAAGGAGTTCTGCATCCCATCAAAGTAAATGCTTTACAAAGTGGCTGATTCTGCAGGGAGGTCTTGTCATGTCATTGTGGGCAATAGCTGGGCAAGAGAAGGTTCAACTAGGCATACTTGAAGAGTCGAATTGCACAAGGACTGTTTCCCATAGCTGGAAGCACCTTTGGCATATAGTTTTGTATTCCATGTTTTCTTTCTCCTAACTCCTGTTATATTTTCCACTTCAGTGTCTTCTTGACTAAATCCTTGGCTCTTCCCTCAGCACTTTTTAAGACATTGTGTTTTCTGCTTGCAGACTGACTGACCCAGCTTACATCTCCTCTTCAGCCTTCAGTAAGCTGTTGTGTGCACATTCTTGATTTTGTTTCCCAACTCTACTCCTTTCTCTCTACCACCTGCCTGCCCTTATATTCTCCTCATGCCTTCCCTTGGCCACTTGTGGCCATTTCTCCAGACAAGCTCTTCTGGTGTCTTCACAAGGCTTGCTACAAACACACTGCTCCAACTGTCTATATCAGCCTTCTTCTCATGCCTCTCTTTGCTTCCCACCTCTGCTTGTTCTACCAAGCCCTGTCCTCAGTGTGTGTTTCCTCCCTAGAATCTCTGCAAGCCTTGCATACAGTCACACTCCATCTGCATCTTGCCATAGCTGCATGGGCATTTTGCCTTCTCTGGAAACATGCTGTTTTAGAATAGCATCTAAATTATGAGGTACTTTTCTTCTTTGTGCAAACATGGAATTTGTCCTGAAAATCTATTTGTTATCTGGAAAATCACCACCTATGTTTAGGTAGTCTTGGATCAAATTTTTAAAGTGGCTTTCAAGATCTTCTTTTCCAAAATCTTCTGGGATGCCACTGACTCTTACATGTAATTCTGTTTGCTGAAATTTTAATGTGTTCATTCTTTTCATTTCTTGGACTTTTCAATCGGTTTTTCAAATTTCCTTGTTTTGTCATTTATTGTGCACTGGTTTGAACGTTCTCCGTGATGTTTATCACATCTGTCTTTGAATCAGCATTCATATCTTCCACCATATTGATGATCGTCTGTTGTAATTGTGAATGTCTCATTCAGTTCTGACATTTTTCTAATTAGTTTCTTAAACATTTTATTAACATCTTCCTTCCTTCCCCTCTTTTTCTTCTATTTCAACATTGTTTCCTTTCCCTTTTTGTAAGTAGTAAAGAATATTTCCCATAAGCTTTGTTTTCTTATTCTGCTCCACTCTCACAATTCTTTATGAATCACAAGCATTCACAGAAGCAATTGGTTAAAACCTGCAACTTGGCCCTTTTAACAAATGGTGTTAATAATTCAAATCAGACCCAACTGCTATGGGAGCTGAATGGAATCTATTTTTCAAGTACTTTCAGATCCAGAGTTCATCTTTACTGAAGTTTTCCTTGTGTAAGAGAAGAGTTTGCCTCACACTGTGTTTCTCGTTGCTGCAATCAGATCTTCCCTCCCTCTTTTCTCTCCCTCCACTTCAGCGTGGGAGCTATAAGGCAAAGTTAACAAAATTCTTATAATTATAAAATCCAGTGCTGGGAAATAGTTGGGATGGTAAGAACCAGTACAGAGGAATGATGAAGAGAATTAATAATCCAGTGGTTAGTTCTTTTAGAACGGGGGTGTCAAACTATCGGCCTGCGGGCCGGACACGTCATGCGGAAGCCACCCCCACCCCATTGCCGGCAATGGCAAAACTCTCCCGATATGTTGCGCGACGTCACGTGACGTTGCAAGTTTGACATGTCTGTTCTAGAATTTCTTTAAATCCTTTCACTAGAAGAAAAAGGATGAGAGAGGTTAGCAGCATCAATGGTCAATTTTGAAAAATATCATCTGTATGGTGTTACATGATGAAAGTGGGACATAAGAATCTTCCAGCCATGGTTTCTTAGCTTAGCTCCATCCCTTTACTGCATAGCAACTAATACAAATACCACAAATTTCAGAGCAGGAGACAGAAAATCTGGCAACAAACTGCCACCCACCCACTCCCCATCCCTAAGACACTTGCCTGAGAAAATGGAACGGTAACGGGATTGGAAGAGTGAGGTCATGTTACCTGATTGCCATTACTAGTGTTTCTCAACCTCAGAAACTTTTAAGATGTGTAGATTTCAATTCCCAGAATTTCCCAGCCGGGAATTTTTTCTCAGTTTCTGGGCTGAGGGGGGCGTTGTGGGTAAAGTGGTACTGAGAGCAGAAGCAGCAGCAAGTTTAGAATTGTAATCTAGAAGTGATACCTTGGCTATCCAAGTAATGTCTGCAGATGGGTAGAGTGTATTCCTGTCCAATAATTACTCCATATTTGCAGAGCTGGTGACTCAGGTTCTAAATTCCAGAATTGGCTTCCTAATAGAGTTCCTGAGCAGAACTGCCACTTGCTGCAGTTGCTCTCAAAACAAGTGGGGTGAGAGGACCAGAATAAAATCATTGCAGGGAAATTGCCTAGAGAGTTCTTGATGGTTGAATGGGAGAGGGTTATATGCTGTCTAATCTGGCTCTGTGTGTGTGTGTGTGTGTGTGTGTGTGTGTGTGTGTGTGAGAGAGAGAGAGAGAGAGAGAGAGAGAGAGAGAGAGAGAGAGAGAGAGAGAGAGAGAGAACAGTGCTTTGTTGCTTACGAAGCATATTTTTAAAAAATGTTGGATATATAAATTTATATGTTCCCCAGCTGATGAATATGAAGGGTGAATGTCTAGTGTTTAGAATTGATCAGGAGAAGTAAATTTGAGAGGCCATGTTGTGTGACAATTAAAAAAAAGAGGAGACAGGATTGAAGCTAGAAATATAACATTAGACTCTAAAAACAGTCCAATGCGTGTTTACTTTGAAATAAGCCCCATTGAGTTTAAAGAGCATGCCATCTGGGGAGAGCAATTGCAATTGGTGATTATTTGCTACTGATTGTGAACACCTTAAAAATATGAAGTGGTTGCTCGACAGAACTCTCAATTGCATGGAGTTCAGGAAGAGGCAATAGGTTTGTAGTCTGAGCATCTCCTATTTCTTTGTTTCAACAAGATGACTATATGTACTCAGGGCCGTATTAGGTTTTTGGCTTTGGATTTTTGACAGGGATGGGGATCTGAAATACTATGCAAATTCTATTCCATTACTTAAATTTACTTTTGTAATTCCGAATCGCTGGAGATTTGGAAAGTCTCGGCAAAGAAGATATGGGCAGCGGGAAGCATTTGTATACAATTAGATGTGCTCTAAACCAAAAACACCATGTATACAGTAGATGGAAGCCCATCTGTGCACACTCGCTTAATATTCGTAGTTTCTCCTGTCTTTTTTTGATGATGGAAGCAAGAGAAATTCCGCAGAGCACTCTTGTTTTATAGCTCTTGGGAAACGTTGGTCTTCAGACTGGAAGCTTCTTTTTGTTGAAAGAAGAAAAGACTGAATTGATCATTTATGCATTGGATTAAAAAGGGTCAGAGAAGAAAAGGAAAGAATAAGATGGCAATTAATCAATAGAAATCATAATTTTATGTTTTCTTTTTTCATTTTGTGTTTTTCTCTTTTTTTCTTGTTTTAATTTTTATATTTCTATTGTATTGAAAAAAAATCTACTATTTTTTTAAATGTTAGTGTTTGAAAGTTCAGCTCTGCAGCTTCTCCCAGATGGATCCTGAAATTTCCCCCAGTACTTCCTTTTGATCCACTTATTTTCATCACCTTATGAGGCTAGAATCTGATTTTTTAAAAGAAAATGCCAGTCAGCTTTTTTTCTAGAGTACTATAATTTGTTCTCAGTATAGTTCCAGTATAGTGGCCCAAAGCCAAACAGCAAGAAGTAAATAAAATAAAAATGTACTACCCTTAAGAATAGTAGACTATAACTAAAAGACCAGAGAGAATCATTCTATAGCTCTGTTGATAGCACATGACCTGTATCTGTTGACAAACACAGTCACATTACCAACTGAATGCCTTGCCTTTCCCCTAGATCAGGGGTAGGCAACCTTGGCTCTTTTATGACTCGTGGACTTCAATTCCCAGAATTCCTGAGCCAGCATGGGAGTTGAAGTCCACGAGTCATAAAAGAGCCAGGGTTGCCTACCCCTGCCCTAGATCAGTGGTTCTCAACCTTTTTAATGTCGCGACCCCCCAACCGGTCGTAAGTCGAGGACGACTCAACCGGTCGTAAGTCGAGGATTACTCAACTGGTGCAGCACCGTTTGCAGAATGGGACTTTTGGCGGGCTCAGCAGGGCAGAGACAGGCTGGACAATTCCTATTGGCTTTTGAAAGCCAATAGAATTAGACTCTGTTCAAGAGAGTCTATTATATTGGCTTTCAAAAGCCAATAGAATAAAAGGGAGTAGCACAGCTAAGGAAAAGGAGAAAAAAATGGCGGACTGCGTTGTTTGGCGACCCCTGTGAAATGTTCGTTCGACCCCAAATGGGGTCCTGACCCACAGGTTGAGAACCACTGCCCTAGATGAATCCCTTTTAACACTCTGTATAGTAGATTGGATTACATTTCATAGCTCCAGGAAGATAATAAACACCACAAATAACCTTGCCCTCAGGGCAAAACAAGGACTCTTCCCTCACAAAGGATTCCCATATTTTGAGCTGAAATCCCCATTCCTACCCCCTTTCTCCTGGTGTCTCTCCACCTGACAGCAAGCGTCAAAAGGCGCAAAATTCAGAAAGCCCCTCTTAACACCAATCTTGTTTGTGCTAAAGGGAACATCTCTCTCTCTCTCTCTCTTTTTTTTTTTTGCACGTTTTAAAAATAGCCCCGAGATTGCTGACACTAAGTCCTAATCAGCATCCTAAATATTTATAACTCAACCATACACCACGCCCCCACACCTTTTTGCTGTTCTTTCAGGTGAATTAGGGAGAGGCTTGGAAATATAGGGCAGAGCAAGGCAGATGATGTAGCAAACTTAGTTTTTCTCCACACACTTTTCCTTTTAATAAAAGGAAAATTGGCGGAAACAAGATAGCGAGCTACTTAGTGGTTGTGGGGCTTTCTCCAATGAAGGTTACCGGAAACATATAAACAAAATGCCTGTTCACATTCCTGCCCATCCATGTTTTAGGCCAGTGGTGGCAAACCTATGGCACAAGTGCCAGAGGTGGCACTCGGAGCCCTCTCTGTGGGCACACGTGCCGTTGCCCCAGCCTTGCCTCCCCCGCAACCCCCTCTTCTCCAGCAGCCCCCCTGAAGGAGACTCGCCCTCGAGCGTGGCCCACGTGGAGCAGCGCAGCCAAGGACATGGCAGCCAGGCAGCGTAGACGAGACTCTGCCCTCGCACCCCATCATGCAGTTGATGCTACAGGGCGCGGGCAGAGAGTGTGGCCGCCATAACGCTGCTGGGTTGCCTGGGCGATCTGTGGCAGGCCCTGGAGGCGCTGAGTGGTCCTGTGGGCAGGCGAGGCAGGGAATGGGGGGACAGAGCGGGGGTGGAGCAGGGAAAGGGCCAGTGTTTGGGCACTCGGTCTCTAAAAGGTTCGCCATCACTGTTTAGGCCATTTTCTGCTTCTGCAAAGCTACCACCAGATAGAAGCTGTAATAAGCAGCCTACGTATTGAATGTTGCCACAACCTAATTCCTACACTTACCAAGCCTGTAGAAAACAATTGAAGCAACTAGTGATAATGGTCAGGCAACTCATTGATGATATGTTATCAAGTCAGTATCAACTCTTGGCAGCCACATGGATCTTCCCCATGACAATCTGTCCCTAATTTGTTTCAGGTCTTCGAACAATGTGCCCATTGCCACTGTAACTGAGTCCATCCACATTGCTGCAGGTCACCTTCACTTTCCTTACACCTTGCCCAGCTTTAGATCCTGTTCCTAAGAGCTAGGTCTTCACATAATATACCCAAAGTAAGATAATTTGAGCCTGGTCAAGTCACTTATGCTCAAGTGAGAACTCTGAGTTGATTTTGTTCACTGATCCATTTGTTTGTTTTCTTGGCTGTCTGCAGTTTTCTCAGAAGTCTTCTCTAACACCAAACTCCAAAAGCACCAGTATTCTTCCTATTCTGGAAGAATTCTTATTTTTCAAAATCCAACCTTTGCTTCCCTAGAGTATCACAGGGAATACTAAGGTTCGTGTGATTCTAATCTTTGTAGAGATAGCTACGCACAACATTTTGATATCTTTTTCCAAGATTTTCATGGCTGCTCTACCAAGTGCTAGTCTGTGGCGTATTTCTTGACGCCTCCTTTATTTTTTGATCCTACAAGGTGGAATATCTTCAGTATCTTTGTTGCCAATTCTAAGGTGGCTATTCTCCATGTTCGGGCAACGGAATTACTGATTTAATTCCTTTGAGTCAGGAATTGCTCTGCCCTCACCACAGTCTTCATTCTGCAATGTTTTATTTCCATAGAAACCAGCAGGTAAACCCGCTACCAGTCCTGTGAAAAGCGTGACAGCCAAGAATGCAGGGCTCACATCAAGCAAACCTCAGCCAGCAGGGAAAGCGGGGACAACCTCAACAAAAGCAGGAACTGCCCCTGTTCCAAAAATCTCCGAGAGCTCAGAGAGCAGCAGCTCTGATTCTTCAGATGGCAAAGAAGCTGAGAAGCCAGCAAAGCAGGTAAAAGCAGGAGGTCATTCCGCATACAAGAAGCCATTCTTCAAGAAGGTTTTTTTTCCTCAAGGTAGATAAGATGCTATAAGAAAAGCCACACAGATCAGGCTAATCTTGCAGGTTCTCTTATTAGAATCAGGCTGGTATTAACATCTGACATTGGTGGAGCTGGCAGTCTGGTGGTTCGTTTTTTTGTTGTTGTTGTTTTTGGGTTTTTTTGGTTTTTTTATTTTTATTTTTTTCCTGCAGTGCAGATGATGTAGAAATTCTTCGTGTAATGGCTAATTGCATTAAAGATAAAGCAGTTTTATCCTCAAGGATATTTTGTGTTATGTGTTGAACTTCTGTGAAACAGTCAGCAATAGGAACTGAGGCATCCTGAGCAGATTTGCATAGTCCAGGGGTAGGCAACCTTGGCTCTTTTATGACTCGTGGACTTCAACTCCCAGAATTCCTGAGCCAGCATGGCTCAACTTGGAAACCTCTCCTTTTTCCCTCAGTATGGCTGGCTCAGGAATTCTGGGAGTTGAAGTCCACGAGTCATAAAAGAGCCCAGGTTGCCTACCCCTGGCATAGTCTATAATAGATGGCAATTCAGTATTGATTTTGTTTCAGACACAAATGTCTTGTTATTTCTGAGAAAATACACATTTTAAAATGCATTTCCGGGTACGTGGTGTTTTTTTTTTTCCCCTCTACAGCCTCCTATTCACCCCTTTTTTAAGCAGATGACTGCTAAAGTGGTCACTCCCTCAGGAAAGGGCGTACAGACCAACTTAAATACATCTGGTGCTGCTTCCAACAAATCCCAGAGTTCTGCCACAAAAGCAACAGGGAAGGAAGAACAAATTCCCTCCCAAAAGGCTAAACTGAGCCAGGGACAGGCTCCGGCTGTTAAGTCCCCTGGAGTCACCATACGTAAGGAGAGCTCCTCAGACAGTTCCTCGGACAGCAGTGAGGAAGAAGCAAAACCTTTGACAACAGCCAAGCCTCCGGCACTGCCTGGTAAGAGAGGCCAGATTCCATGGGGGGGGGGGTGGCAGGAGGATCTCTTCAGAAACACTTGGAAGTTTAGAAACCCGGTGAAAACTAAATATTAGAAGCACAGCTTGTTATGCAGATAAGATGGCATTACCCACACAGTGCAGCTTGCTCCTAAAATAAAAAACGTTGCCCACTTGAGGCATGTTTATGTGAAAATCACACCTCCGCACTTGCTTTTTAGCTTTAAAAAAAAAAATGCTGAGCTCCTGATTTTTTTCTTTCTTTCCTTGAAGTGTTCCTCCACTTCAACCTCCCCCAGTCTTGGGATATTTTCAGTATAAACAGTTTGGGCATAACAGTTTATCATTATACACACACACATATACATATATACATACGTACGTACGTACGTATGTACGTACGTACATATATATATATATATATATATATATATATATATATATATATATATATATACACACACACACATACACACATACATACACACACACACGTGTGTGTGTATGTGTGTGTAGGTCTTTGGTTATTCGGGTTTTTTCTTGCGTCAAATTGGAAGTGTCTTGGTGACGTTTCAACGAAGTCTCATTCGTCATCTTCAGGCTGGTGTTTTCAGCTTTGTGCTTCGCCATTCCTCATCCAGAAGCCCACCGATTCCTCAGACAAGAGTCCCACAACAGTTCAAGTATCTGAACATTTAAATCACCAGCATCAGCAAGTCTGGTTCAGACTAACATTTCAATTCTCCACTGTTGATATTTGTTACTGTAATTGTTCTCTTGAAAGACATGACAGCGTGGTTGAAATAGGAACTCTGGAAGTAACTATTGATTTGGGAGAATCTGAACAGGAGAATTGCCTGTGGTAGTTTCAGAACTGCTGCAAAGACTTCTTTCATTGCATAAGATGTAAAGGTACCAATTCCCATCTCATGAACTTTCAAGAAACCTTTATAATAAGCAAAGCTAAAAATGTTATAGAGTCGCACTAGGTAACTGGACAATGAACATAAACCTTAATTTGACTTGATCTTCCCAGTTCCCCCACTCTATGTCACAGAAGCTTTTCAGTTTTTCAAGGACTCTGAGGTCACTGTTTGCTTTTTTGCAGCCACCCAGCAGAAACAAGAGGCAAAAAAAGAGTCAGAGAGCTCATCTGAGGAGTCCAGTGATGAAGAACAAGAAGCTTCTCAGGTATTTTTTTCATTATCTCATGTATAGGTTCACTTAGCATCGTTGGATATTTTGCCTTATCTTACAGAGAGGGGAGCAAGCAAGCAAACTAGGCACCTGAAGATGGAGGAAGTAGTCATTAGGAAAGAGTATGATCCAAGTTGTCAGGAAAATATATTGTGCTGGTGGCTCCAGACATGGACAACTAGTGGATTTGAGATTCAGGTGAACATCCTGGCCCAGTGGAGAAGGTCAGGATTTAGTACTAGTATTGTTATTTGGAAAGGGATATGAACAAGTAGCCAGACATCAGTCCTGAAAGAAGACAGCCCTGAAGGATGGGTGGAGAGCCAAGTGTGACAGCAGAGCCAAGAGCAGGGCTTCTTTCCTTTCCTGCCAGCTTTCATCCCAGAGCAAACAAACATCAAGGAAAGGGCAACTTGCAAGGAAGAATGTCAGAGCAGTCAGAAAGGAGTTGAGGTGGATTCCTGGCAGTGAAAGAGACCGGGCAGGAAAGGAAAGAGCTGAGAGACACAAAGATCAAGCAGGCTGCAATTGAGGCCTCACAAGGCCTAGAAAACACAGCCCCAGTCTAATAATAGGAAACACTAAAAGCGGTGCCCCAGCCAAACCAGCTGAGAGCAGAGACCTTATCCACAAAGAGCTGGTTGATGCGACTGGTATCGGTAGCACTAAGAGAGAGCTGACAAACTAGAATAGGATGCACAGAAAGGAAGACTAAAGGAAGGAAAATAGTGTAAGGGATATTTAGGCTCTACAGATAGGTGGATAAGAAAGAATGGAGGTAATCAGATTTTAACTAATGCAGAATAGTGTAATAATAATAGAAAATAAGACAGAAATTCTAGAACAGTGGTTCTCAACCTGTGGGTCGGGACCCCATTTGGGATCGAATGACCATTTCACGGGGGTCGCCAAACAACGCAATCGGCCATTTTTTTCCCCTTTTCCTTAGCTGTGCTACTCTTTTTTATTCTATTGGCATTTGAAAGCCAATAGAATAGACTCTCTGGAATAGAGTCTAATTCTATTGGCTTTCAAAAGCCAATAGGAATTGTCCAGGCTGTCTCTGCCCTGCTGAGCCCGCCAAAAGTCCCATTCTGCAAACGGTGCTGCACCAGTTGAGTAGTCCTCGACTTACGACCGGTTGAGTAGTCCTTGACTTACGACCAGTTATGGGTCACGACATTAAAAAGGTTGAGAACCACTGTTCTAGAAGACCGGGGAATGGCCATAAAGGACAGGAAGGAGGACTGCTGCCAAGATAGCAGTCAGAAATGGCCTGAGCCAGAGCCAGGAAAATAACTTGAGAAAGCATCTTGGGCAAGCTTCTCCCTGGTTCACGTGGGAGACTCTGAAAGACACTGTTCCTGTAGAGTCTAATAATAATAAAAAAAAACCTGTATTATCAAAGTATACAGTGAAATTGGCTGAGCCTCCCTCTGTGCCCCCCCACCATAAACTCACAGTGACTACAAACCCCCAACTTATTTCACCCTGCGAACTAATTGCACATCACGCCGGCCTCACGAGTCTGTCATGCATAAAGTTATGTCCCATTCAGAAGCCTGATGGCCCATGGATAAAAGCTGTTCTTTAGCCTGTTGGTACGGCTGGCTATGTTTCTGTATCTACTTGGTAAAGCTGACAGAAATAAAAAAATTAAAACAAAGCTAATTAAGGACACTAGAATAGAGTTTAAGAAAGGTCTTAGAATGGTAAGATGAAAGATAAATTTATTGTAAATAAAAAAGTGATAGATAGTCTTTCTTTTATGATAAAATCACCTTTCCCATGAGAGTTGACAAGTGTGCTTGTCTGCATAATCCACAAACCTACAGTTTGCCTCTGAACAAAGTCAGAACTTCCATAGTTAATAGCATGCTTTCTGAATTTATACTAATCAGGGTGGATTGATTTAATGAAAATGTAAAATACAGAGTATTAAATAGCTCAGGGGGAACTGTACTATGCATACAGCAGCAGTTTTCAGTTGCAATTTAAGCCATGCCTTAGCTATAAAAGTTGTCTTTATGAGCAATGTGTGGTACCAACTGTAGATCTGTGACATGTTGGACTTGCATGCAATTATGGGACTGTAGCAATCGCGAACAACCACCCATATGCCTATTTAAGAGGGAGAGAAGAGAGAAGCAAATTTATCCTGCAGGCCATAAATCCATACAACATATAAATATTTCCCCTCCTTTTCTAGAAAATGGAAACATTTAACAGCTCCCCACCTCTGTTTGCCTTTTTTGAACAATTGTGCTGGCAGCCTACACACTTTTTCGTGGCTTAGCCCACACATTCGAAATCTAATGAGCTTGTGAAGGGGTTGCCTTCAGGAGCTCATTAGAAGAAGAAAGCAAAAGTTTTGAAGGAACTTGCACTTGCATGGCCATACATGCGCAGCTTGAGCCTTGTGTTGTGTGTCTTTTTTTCCCCAGGACCTTAAGTTCGACAGTCCTCTCCCTTCAATTTGTAGCCAGAATGTTGCCCCCTAAACTCACATATCCAAGTAACTTATTGGGGGAGGCACATTTAGAAATGATACAGGGGAACACGAGTCCGATGGGAATGAAAATTAAATTTAGACTGCCTCCCCCCTATTACAACCACCCTGCCCACCAGGGCAGGAAGGCAGGGCATATTACAGGCTCCATCAATTAGGGCTTGTCATCTGATGAGACCACAAAAAGGGCCTTCAAGGTCTGCCATCTTCAGCTTGATGCCTTGCTGGCATCCTGCCATCAAAGGCTAGGAGGGAGGAGAAAACATGGGGGGGAGGGACAGATGGGCAATCAACCTGCTTGTCTAGTGATGGGAAATTGGGAGTGGGGAATGACAGCTCAGCAAAGAGCAGGAGAGTTTGGAACCAGTTTGTGCCAGCACCCAAGGCCATGCACCCTGAGAAAGAATGTGAATTACCCTAAACATCTCAGCGTTCTCAAAACACTTAGGCCAGGGGTCCCCAACCAGGCCAAGGAAGCGGCAGGCCAGCACGCACATATGTCGACCCAATGCTTGTGCAGCCCAGTTCCCCTCCCTTCCCTCCCCCCAGCCGGACCGCCAAGCTGCAAAGGTTGGGGACCACTGACCTAGGTGAACTCTCATTGGCTGAAGAGGGACTGGTCATGGCGGGGAGGGCTAGGATACGGGAAACTTTCTGTATCTTTTGAACACAGGGAATTTAGTTTTAGCCTGACTCTACTGCAACTAACATCTTTTAGTAAAAGAATCTATCACTTCCCACCAAATGGAGTCGAGGGTCTTTCTTTCCTAAAAAATTGGACTGGGGCAAGTCCAACAGGTGGCGCCTTCTTTAGGGAACAACATCCCCCCCCCCAGGTAAGATTGGCCCCCACCCTGCTTCTTTTCCAAAAGGCCCTAGAAGTGTCTATGTCAGTGGACCTGGGGACCACAAATGGAAATGGAGCTGATTGAGTGGCTAATCTAATTGTGCTGTTGCTATCATGAAGGATGCAGTAGGGCTTTTAAATGGTTTTATTATATGATAGATCTTTTACATGTCTGAGTTGGGCGGCTATATACATTTGTTTAATAAACAATACATCTAAAACAGCCTTCCTTATCCAGACTGTTTCATACATTACCGAGAGTGGAGCTCTTCCCCAAATTCCAACCAGGATAATGGACATCAAACTTGGAAGGCAACAATAAAAGTTTAGTTCTCTGGTAGATCTTTGTTTCTTGCCATCTCTCTCTCTCTTGCGTAATCTCTTTCTTTCTCTCTCTCCCCCTCTTCCCCCCCCCACACAACACATATTATTTGCTCCAGCCTTTATGAATTAAGCATTCAGAACAACAAGCTGAAATTCCTTTTCAGAGGAACAAGTTAAAAAAATACTTCTTCAAATTTCATGTTTTGCTAATTGAAGGGACTCAAGATATATCACTCTGTTAGTTGCCCTTGCTCTTAATCATATGTGCGTACATTATTTCTTTCTCTTGTCTCCCCTCCTAGTCTCTTTTAACAGGGCTATCAGGTCCTCACAAGATCCAGGCATCCACTGTGGCAGCAAGTCCTCTGCTATCCAAACAGGGTTCTGGGAAAGTTAGTAGTCTGACTGCCAGTGCTGCTCAAGCAAAGTCTCCTTTGAAGCCAGCTCCTGCTGATAGCGCATCATCGACTGACAGCTCTTCAAGCGATAGCGAAGGTGAGGAAACAGGGTTGGCTTTGAAGGAACTGTTGGTACAGAAGACTAAAAGAAAGGCAGTTTTTAGGAATTATCTGTGTAATCCTGAACGGTTAAATTCTGGAACTATCTATATAGTCCCAACCCTCCACAGATTCATTTTCCAGAGGCAAATGGTCTCTTAAATCTCCCCCTTTTTCAAATCCAAAGGTATCCAATTATTTCAACTGGGTGAAGATTTTCTGGATCAAGAAAGGATCCTGCTACATTTGTTTTTCTCCAAAGCTCAGTATATTTTGAAGGATTTTTTTTATTATTATTATTATTAAGTTGGAGGGGGTTTGGAGATCATCTAGTCCAACCCCCTGCTCAGGCAGGAAACCCTATACCATTTCGGACAAATGGCTTTCTGAGATTTGTCCTGTGCAGAGAAATTGAATGAAAAATGGTTGAAAATTTGTGATCTTATTATATAGTGGGCTTGGTGATTCTTTCTAAATGAAGATAAATTTTCTGTAATTGGGTTGCCTGGATGATGATGATTATGATTGATGTATTATTTTTATTTATTTGTATCCCACCTTTATTATTTTCACAAATAATTCAAGGTGATGAAAACATTCAACACACTTTCCTCTTCCTATTCTCCCCACAACAACAATGCTGTGAGATGAGTTGGGCTGAGAGAGAGTGATTGGCCCAAAGTCACCCAGCTGGCTTTCCTGGATGGGGAGGCAGGTCTCACGGTCTCCTGCTTTCTAGCCTGCTGCCTTAACCACTAGACCAAACTGTCTGGTGGCTATGTGGAGCATCTGAGACTGGGGAATGTATAATTCTTAATGTAATGCAACATTTTTCAAATTGTTAGTCTAAATTTTAAGCCAAAATTCTGAGATAAAACTCTTTTAATATGTAGGGAAAAGTTGTCCTGATAAAATTCATTTTTTCTTTTAATTGGACAGATTAGAATAGAAATACATCTAGCTAGGTGTAATTGTAAAACACAGTTCTGTAAATTAGAAAGTATCTGCCTTTCCTAAAAGTTAATTAGGCTAAGCCTTTCCCCAGGTTTTCTTCCAAATGTGTCACATCTGCAACTTCTGGAATTCCCAGGTGGCCTTAACAAGTGCTTTAGATTGTTTCCCTTGAACAGAGCCTAGAGCAGGGGTAGGCAACCTTGGCTATTTTATGACTTATGGACTTCAATACCCAGAATTCCTGAACCAGCCATGCTGACTCAGGAATTCTGGGAGTTGAAGTCCACAAAGTCTACACATCTTAAAGCTGCAAAGGATGAGAAATACTGTCCTAAAAAAATCGTCAGTTGTCTAATACTGTACTTTTATTGCTGAACTTATTTAATACAGTGTTGAGCTTAGATAAGATAACCTTTATTGTCATTTTTTTACTGTGGGCACAATGGCACACATCAAAAATGAAATTTAGTTGCCCGCTCTCAAAGTGAAACACATAGATGACACATACCTATACATACTATGAACAACATATGTATAGACCCACACCCTTACATATACGTAGCAAATAAATATTAAATATTGTCCATCTTGACATCTTGATGGTGTTGTATGAGGCAACTGGCTGTCCAGATTGTGTTATAATTATATTTCTGATAGTCCAAATCAATGTGACAAGGTTCCAAGTTGCATAACATTAATATACAAAAGATATCTCATACCTGCACTAAAATGTCTAAGACACATGTGGGCAACTTCCAGTCAATAAAAATTAGTTTATTTCCTTTCTTCAATTTGGGGGTTTGGCTTTGAGGTGATGAAGGAATTAGCGATGTGATGAGGTAGGGTTAAATTTGGGACCCTTGAGAAGTGTTTAGAATCATGTTTTCCTACTCAAAATGATTATTAGCCCGCTACAGATCTAATGCATCCGTTTTGAGCCTCTGTTCTTTTTCTTTAATGCCTAGTGCTCAAAATCACCAATTTGCCACCAAGTGTTGGTGCAGCCATTTATGGACAAGGAAGATCTGGAAAAATTAATCCAGGGGAGCTACATTCCTCCATAGGGCACAGGCTATCCATCCCTGATCTGATTCTATGATGGGTATCCTAAATGAAGGTGTAGGATGGCTCATGTCCAAATTCATTTGGCCATCTTTAAATGGCTCATCACAATCCTAGTATCTAAAATGCGAATTTTGATTCTGCTGACCGTATCACCTGGTTCATTCATGTCTGAAGAAAAGGAAAAATCCTGCCCTTCAGTCAAATGATTAAAATAAGGGCCTCCCTCACTGAGAGTTTCCATCTACTGGATACCCTTCAAAATATGCCAAAACTATTTTTCTACTGTGTGCCCAAAGAAGGCCTGAAGGGAATAAGGTTTTGCAGATTAGTCCCAGGAATGCTCGCAGATAGAATAGTTACCATATTTATATGTCAGATTCCCCTTTCCTTTGCTGCCTGCTTAAATTATTCCCTAGCTTGTAAATGGAGGTGGCTGTGAAAGCTTGACCAAAAACAAAACCAAAAACAGACCCACAGTCCAAAGGTCTAGACCAGTAGTTCTCAACCTGTGGGTCGGGACCCCATTTGGGGTCGAACGACCATTTCACGGGGGTCGCCAAACAACGCAGTCCACCATTTTTTCCCAGTTTTCCTTAGCTGTGCTACTCCCTTTTATTCTATTGGCTTTTGAAAGTCAATAGAATAGACTCTCTTGAATAGAGTCTAATTCTATTGGCTTTCAAAAGCCAATAGGAATTGTCCAGGCTGTCTCTGCCCTGCTGAGCCCGCCAAAAGTCCCATTCTGCAAATGGTGCTGCACCAGTTGAGTAGTCCTCGACTTACGACTGGTTGAGGGTCGCGGCATTAAAAAGGTTGAGAACCACTGGTCTAGACCGTGCAAAAAGAGGAAGATCAATGGGCTGCCCAGAAGTGTTGTTGAAATGGGTCCCTTTTTGGTTTTCTAGCAGCACTGGGGAAGCATGTTAATGCTGAGCTGAATTCTTCCTGTTTTGGGACCATTTGACTTATCAACAATAAAGAGTCTTGTGACAGCTTAAAAGCTAATCATCAAAAAGCTAATCGTTTGGTACATGAAGCTTAACAGATACTTTTACATGGGGCATATTTGAACATGTGCATAGGCGCGCTGCAGAAATCTTCTCCTTAAGATAACATTGACTTGATTCCCTCTTTTAAAAAAAAAAAAAATTAAAATCCAATCCCATACTTCCCAGCCATGAGCCAGGTTGCCTGGTAATTTTAAGACAAACATATCTGGAAAGCGTTAAGTGGGGAAATGGCATTTAAAATAATTGTACAGCCAGAAGACAGACTCCTGTAGCTGAGAATTTCCTGGAGCAAGAAGAAATGGGAACGTAGCCATGACTGAGTAAACCCTTGGATTGTAGCATGCTCAGTCAGCAGCTACGAAGCAGCCGAGCATGGGGAAGCTTTTATAGCTTATGAGCACAGGCCATTTCTTTCAATATCATTTATTCATAGTAATTCATATATTTTGATGCTGAGTTGGAATAACGTACCCATAAATTGGCAATACTAGTCTATAGGGGTCAGGTTCTTAATAGTGGCTTAAGTGTAAAAATTAATTCTTTTCCACAGAGATCACCTCGTTGCCGTCTTCTGGAAAGGACACAGCGGCTGCTAAGGGAAAGAGGCCAGGGAAACGAGGACTGGAGAGCACCAGCTCCAAGCCTCTCCCAGCAAAGAAAGCTGCTGCAAAAGCTCAGAGCAATGGCCAAGCCCAAGAGGCCTCTGCGGCACCGTTGCCAGAATCACTTGCTCCATCGTTCAAAGCTCTCCCTGGGAACAAGGAACAAGGAGGGATCCAAGAAGGTGCCCGGGCTAACCCTGTGGCAAAGGCCAAGACAACCAAAACTGGAAAGAAAGAGAAGCCATCCAAGAAACGGAAACTGGCCGATGGGGACACTGGCCCTGGGGTTTCAAAGGGCAAGAAGCTTAAAATGCAGAGCGAGGAAGAGATGCCGGTAAAGAAGAAGAAAAAGAAGAAGAAATCCAAGTCTTCAGACAGCATCAAGTCAACAAAGAAAAAAGACAGCAAAGAAAAGAAGTCTGATAAAAGTGAGAATCCCATCCCTACTCCAACAAAGCTGGGTGCTAATTAATGTTCCTGGCCTTTTTTTTTTCTTTTTTCATTATTTAGTGCAGTGTTTCCCAAACTTGACAATTTTAAGGCATGTGGACTTCAACTCCCAGAATGCTGGCTGTGGAATTCTGGGAGTTGAAGTCCACATGCCTTAAAATTGTCAAGTTTGGGAAACACTGATTTAGTGCATTCTGCTGCCCCCATGTGGTAAAGAAGTATTGCTTACCAATAAGCAGTGGTTACCAATTCATTTGTGTTGGTAAAGGGCAGGGGTCTTCAAACTTGGCCCTTTTATGACTTGTGGGTGTCAACTCCCAGAATTCCTCAGCCAAGTCCACATGTCATAAAAGGGCCAAGTTTGAAGACCCCTGGTAAAGGGAGTAGTGGGAAAAGGTTTATTCAGTATATGCAACCAGTGGTGGGATTCAGCCAGTTCGCATCAGTTCAGCAGAACCGGTAGCTAATATTTTGTTGCCCAGGCCAAGAATGGAGTTCCGGAAGCAGCATCCACACAGAGAACCGGTTGTTCACATATTTGAATCCCACCACTGTATGCAACCCTAGCACTCTGATGTCCCCACCTTATACTTGTGGAAAGAAGCTATCCTAACGTGCCTCTTGGTTGCAATCCAAAGAAAAATAATTAAGTGAAAAGGATAGGCAAGAAGGCTTGTTAGAAGGTATATTTAGGTCTGTTTTTTAACATTCTTCTGCTTCCTGTTGTTTTTTTTCCAGCCACTTCCTTCCTCATTGTATGGGCTTACTCTGCTTTAACTACTTCCCCTTTTCTGTGATGCCCTCAGTCCTTTTTTGAGCCCCAGGATCTGAACTGATTGCAAATTATCTAATCCCACCCTGATCCTTCCTTTTTGTTCTGTCCAGGATTGGTTCAGAACATTTGGATGTACCACTTAATACAGTGGTGGCTGTGGAATTCTGGGAGTTGAAGTCCACATGCCTTAAAATTGTCAAGGTTGAGAAACACTGACTTAATATGTTTTCCTTGAAGTGTGATGTTACACTGACCTACTTTGTGATTGCTCTGTAATGTCCCTTATTTTTATCATAGGCACTTTTGTGTGAGCACATGCCTTCACGGCAATTCAAGTAGTCGGCCTAGTGTCTGCAGTGTTCTTGGCAAAGTGTCCCAGAAGTGGTGTGCCATTGCCTCCTTCTTGGGACTGAGAGAAAGTGACTGGCCCAAGTTCACCCAGATGGCTTTGTGCCTAAGACAGAACTAGAACTCTCCTGTTTTCTATCCTGGTGCCTTAACCCTAGACCAAACTGGCTCTCTTATTTTAGAGGTGATTTTTTTTTAAATAGAAGAACAGAGTTTAAATCAACACAGAACTAAAGTTAAAAACAAGCTTAACCAGCTGCTTTTACTTTATCCCCATATTAATTAGCCCACCAGTTTAGTTTTCCTCTGGCACCATCCCAAACAAGCAGTCCTTTGGTTTTGGATTTGTTCAAAACCCCTGAATAAAACGTCCCTCAGTGTTCCCAGCTGGAGCAGTGCTTTTGGTAGAATGCTTCTATTTTATGAAGTGGAGGTATTATAGCCCTTCCCCATATTTCAGAAGAAAAGCACATGCTGGCCTGGGTGCAAAATACAACCCTCCGGTGTTTAACCTGTTTTGATATATGATTACCAATGATTCCTTTCCGATTTTCTGGCTAGAATAGATGGAGGAGGCGGAAGAGCCCAGCTAGGATATGTCTTAGGAAATGGCTTCCCGTTGCTGCATGGCTTTAAAGGTGAAATGGAGGCAGCTTTCCCACTCAGGCATATGCTGACAGCTTTCACAGATAGAGCAGAAAAGGATGCTTCAGATACAAAGGCTGCTAAATGGTCACGTTCAGCAGTAGCTGAATAAATCATGAATATCATTGTAGATGAGTCAGTCTTAAGAAGGCTTCCTTTGGAGAGCTGCTACAAACACTAAGAGAGAGGGAGTTGCTGGAGCACCATTAATCTTGCTATTCAAAGAGCAGCTCTGTCGTTCCTGCTGAGACATTAGAGTTTCCTGCCGAATTCCCAAACAGAAATGGTCACAGGCCTCCTCTAGCAACTGGAGAACAAGAAGGAAAGAGGCTCTTGTATGGAGACTTCAATTTTCCTGATCTTACCCTCTCTGTTGAGGGAGGAAGAAAAAAATCTCCACGCTCTGCTTCACTTGACTAATGTGCACAAGAATAGACTATAATGCTTTAGAAATGTACATGTAAAACAAGGGGGTAGAACCTATTTATCATGTACAAAAATCACTCAGCTATTCTACTCTGTGTACATATTGTCCTCTTTTAGATTTTCTGGTTTTTATCCTATTTTTGCCAGGGTCTCCTGTGAATCTGAGTAAACAGATATATAGAGAGAGATATAGATATAAACATATAAAAAGATCGAATGCAGAAATAGCATTGACGTTTGGTGCTTGTTTCATTTACTGTACTTCAGAAACAAAGTGACCCAACATGCAAATAATTGCTGTCTTAGATTCAGCAACTGTTGTGCCCTTTTTGTAATTGGCAATGAGTCTCTAACATTGTTGTGTGAGAATTCTGGGTTATTTCTCCACGGCATATTGCTCATTCCATAATCCTGCACAACATTTCCAGGGGGGTTTAGATCTGGACTTTGGCTTGACCATTCCAAAATATTGAATTTATCCTCCTCCTTCCATTATATTGTAAACTTCCTTGTAAGTTTGTACCTTTGGGATCATTGTTTTGATTTCAGCTTCAACTAACGGAATAGTTAGGTGATATTATCCGGTAAAATTCATACATCCTTCAATGATGGCAAATCATCCAGGTCTTGAGACAAAAAAAAACACCTGCCAACACATGACATTGTCATCTCCATATTTAATAGTTGGTATGAGGTTCTTATTTTGGAAAACGATATTTGGTTTCCTGTTACCCATTTTTGCTTCATCTGTTGATAGAACATTTCTGTGGAAGACAAAGTATATTTTGGCTAATCTGAGGTGACCAATCATTGTTCTTTCTCAGCAGTGGCTTTGACTTGTTACTCTCCAGTTAATCCCATTTTTACCAGTGTTTTTTTGATGGAGTCATCAGCAGGGATCTGGAAAATCATAGAGGTTCTTTTGCAATTCTTTATGACTCCCTGGATCAGTGGTTCTCAACCTGTGGGTCGGGACCCCATTTGGGGTCGAATGACCATTTCACGGGGGTCGCCAAACAAGGCTGTCTGCCATTTTTCCCCCTTTTCTTTGGCCACACCCCTGACACCCGGTGATGTATAAGTGGTTGGGGGTCACCACAACATGGGGAACTGTATTATGGGGTCGCGGCATTAGAAAGGTTGAGAACCACTGCCCTGGATGAATTTATGCTGCACTGTTTTGATGTCACTGTTATGATGTCACTGTTTTGATGTCATCTCATCTTGGGAAGATTCACTATTGTCCCAGATCTCCAATTCAAAATTAAGTCTGTGGAGAAACCTTAATCGATTTGTAATTGTTCTCAGACTGATAGGTTTTGACTTTTTTTTTTTTTTAAATGGAAGTCTTCAGAAATTTCTTTTGAGTAGGGCACGACATGCCCCTAAAATCTGTGTAGTAAGAGTACCAGAGTGTTATAGTTCGTGATTTATATTGGGCAGGGCTATCTCAAATTAATCTTGATTGTGTAATGATGCACTCGTACAACTGACCAAGTTGCTTTGAGTTGTTTTTACTGGGAATGAGGAATTACTTTTTCACATTGGAAAATGTTGGATGCTTGTTTATGAAACAAATGGAACAAATGTGATACCACTCTTTGGTGTTATGCATTCACTCAGACTCTATATATCAGTAAATACCATTCAGTGATGAAGGTATGCAAATCTCTTAGAGGGAACATTTTTTTTTCAAAACATTTTCTGTGTGTTACAGTTCAGTATAGCTTATATACTTAATATTTTTGCCTTCTGATTTGAACTGTTTTTGGCATAAGTTTCTAATTGAAAGCAGACTGAGCCACAAGTTTTGTTGTAGTTGTCTACCAGCTAAAATAACAGAGATTTCATATTTCAAGTACATTCTGTATGTATACTTAATTGCATTGCTGACTGTCACATTGGCTAGCAATACAAGGCAGCCACACTCAACAAAATTATGCCTATCCTGGTAGATTCTTCCTACCTGTTGATAAAGTTGTTTGCTTTTTCTGTTGGAAGTTGCCTTGAAGCCATAGAGATGAATACTGTTTTTTTTACTGTCCTCAGTTAACATGGTGCAAACTTGTTAGTCAACAGATCTGAAGTTGGGAAAGCTCCTTTAGATCTAACTCGTCCACAGCTCTCATTTGGGACCCCCGTTCTTAAGCAAATATCGCTCATAAGGGGGGGGGGGAATGTCTTCTAGATGACCTCTCATTTTTAGAAATCCCCAAACTAGATGTATCTCTATGCTTAATTTTGACCTGTATTTGATCAGGGCTTTTAGGATATGGTTCTTATACTTAAAATGCTGTTGTTAAGTTGTACGAAACCTCCAAGATGTATAAGCCTGGCAAACCTTCCTCTGCTAGCTACTGTGACTAAATAGTACCCCTTCTTCTTATTGGTGGCTTCTAATTTGAAAGGCTAATTACAAGTGCCACACTCAGTTTCTCCTCTACTCTTTTGTGGTCCTTTGTCCAAACTAGCATCACTGTGTCTTTCAAGGAGATTCTAGTCTAAATCAGCAGTATTGGTCTCTCCTGTCAATGAATTCTCTGAAAATCTCACTGACCTTAAAAGTCAGAATATATCTATAGAAGTGGGAACCTAAACATGAGTTAACAATGTTCTTTTTCTCTCCAGAGTCCTAACCTAGCACTATCTCTATCATTCTATTTTTACTTTTGGAGGCTTCCACCTTTCATTGCCAGTATCATGATTTATAAAATCTCTCTCCATCACTCAGGGGGGAGGGGAGGAGTTTGTTGTACAGCAGTCATAGCAACCTGCCTTTGACCATGCTGGCAAGGACTTTAGGGAACTAGGTTCAACATATTCGGAGGGTGACAGTTTAGGAAAGGGTGGATTAGGATTTTTTTATTCAGGATTTTTAAAGTAACAGCCATACTGTCTCTTCCATTATTTGAAGTCACTCTAGAATGAGTGTATAATACATAGTGAACTCAACTACAAATAAATTGCCAAATTAGACTTTAGATGCTGAAAATATTAAATTATCAGAGGAGCACCATCTTATTTCCATTAATGGAGCAATCTCTGTAGTTATTACCTTAAAACTAGGAAAAAAGCCAGGGAGCTGCAAATGGTCAGCTGGTGTATGCTCTGCATTAGTCTTATGTGTCCAGATAGTGAAGCAGATTTAGTTTTACCCTGGCTATGCATAATAAATAATAATAATAATGTTGGAAGGGATCTTGGCGGTCATCTAGTCCAACCCCCCTGCTCAGGCAGGAAACGCTATACCATTTTAGACAAATGGCTGTCCAGTCTCTTCTTAAAGACTTCCAGTGTTGGAGCATTCACAGCTTCTGGAGGCAGATTGTTCTACTGGTTAATTGTTCTAACTGTCAGGAAGTTTTTCCTTAGTTCTAGGTTGCTTCTCTCTTTGGTTAGTTTCCATCCATTGCTTCTTGTCCTGTCTTCAGGTGCTTTGGAGAATAACTTGACCACATGGTATTGTGTTTGGGTTTTAACAACTCTCTTAGTTAAATTCAGAGTTGAAAAAATGGTGTAGATCAGCGGTTCTCAACCTATGGGTCGCAACCCCATTTGGAGTCGATCGACCATTTCATGGGGGTCGCCAAGCAAGGCTGTCTGCCATTTTTTTCCCCTTTTCCGGCGGGTGCCTTACCTCCCTTGGGCTGGGCCAGCTGGTGGCCCAGCCGGTGGTCAGCCTGCTCCGTCTCTGCCGCTTGCCAGCTACGCCTCGGCCGGCGCAGGGGCGGCACCACGCATGGGTGGCGCTCCCAGGCAGGGAAAGTCCTCAACTTACAACCAGTTGGGTAGTCCTCGACTTACGACTGGTTTAGTCCTCGACTTATGACCGGTTTAGTCCTCAACTTACAACCGGTTGGGGGTCGCGGCATTAAAAAGGTTGAGAACCACTGGTGTAGATTATTGTTGGTTTTTCTGTGCGATGCCATGTATGTGAAGCTTGAACATTGACCAACCTTTAGAGTTACCTTTGTGTCCAAGAAACACTTGGGAATTAACCTCCTAGGAATTCATAAAAAACAACATGACTGCAGCCAAATTTACAAATGTGCCCATCTGTTTAGAAAAAAAAGGAAGGGATGATGGTGATAATAGCATCCTAATGTCAAAAGGGACCGATAAGGAGCATTATCACCAATTAGCCTTCTGGTAAATGGCTATTTTATAACCCCGATTCCCCAGAGCAGCTGTTCTTCTGGTATTATCCCAGGCTTGCTCTCAACATTCCAGATATGCTTGAATAAAGTTTGCAGTGTGAGGAGATAAAAACTGTTTTATTCCCCCACCCCACTCCTCCCCACTGCTTGTCCCTGTCAGCAAGCAATCACTAAAAGTTCTTGTGGGCTCTCTTCAGTTGCTTAATCCTGTCAAAGTTTCTTGCCATTCCTTATTCTACCCCTTATTTTTCTATCCTGGTAAGTGAGAAAATAAATACCTGAGACCTCATGCCTGGATTAAATCAGCAATAACACAATAAAACCTCATTTGAATGGTCTATTTGAGGAGAAGATTTTGAAGTACATTACTGAGGTAGTTTATAGGCAAATGGTATAAATTGCTCTGTAATGATTAAAAGAAGGAAAATTAATTTAACCACCTCATCTGGAATATTCATTTGCAGTGCATTTATCCCTTATTGGAAGTGGGGGGGGGGAAATCTCTGAATGCCAAGTAGTTCCATTGCTCTTGAAGTCTGCTAAATGCGGGTCTATTCAAATCAAGATATCTTTGCATATAATATTAGCAAAAAAAAATCCAAATGCAGTAAATAGGAGATTCTGGTGTAAATCTGGATGTCTGCAGAAAAACAACTGACAGTCCTAGATTTTTCTAGCATAGCCTCAGCACTCATTCATAATATGCAGGTTCTTAACATGTTGTAGTAATCATTTCCTTAAATGGCTTTGGAATCCAAGAAATAAAGTATCTTGGGGGATTTGGTACAACTGGTCCTGCATTTAAAATCATTCAAAACTGGAAATGTGCTTTTATTTGGCCCCAGAATGTTTTTGAAAGACGTAATCTGAATTGTTTACCCTGCACTGTTAAATGTCTTACAGAGAAAAAAAAGAGAAAAAATGTGGAGAGACCTGATGCAGATGGGTCACAGAAGAAAAAGAAGAAAAAGAAGGTAGGAAAAAATATTCTTGTTTTGAACTGTTTTGTGTGGTATATGTGTCTGATACAAATTAAACTTGTCTGGTGTTTAAATTAAATTGGGTAATTTGATGATCCTTAATCATCAAACAATACAGGATTGAGCAGAAGGAAAATCACCCCACTATTAACTGGTTTAGTTACAGTCCTGAGCAGGTACATATTGAATAGATCAGTAGACTTTGAGTAATTGTTCTCATCATTCTGTATTTATCTGACCCAGAGACATATATTTAGTTCACTGTGTAAATACAGCTACCTCTAGACTCATGACATTCTTTTTATGCTCCAAAATTGTTTTCAGAGCAGAGGTGCACAATTTGAGCCATACATGGCCCCCAGAAAACTCCCTTGTTATTAATGTGATAAAAGAGGAAAGTTATTAAATGGAAGAGTAATTCTCCTATGTATAAAAACAGTGCTTCTGGGAGACTTCCTTAGGGAAGAAGTACTTTAGCCCCTAGATAGTGGATTGGGTAATATATCCAAGGTGGGATATAGAAAGTCCCTCATTTGGAAATGCAAACAATTGCATAAATGACTCTCCTAATATAATCTAAAGGCTTACTTCTTCCAGAGTTAAGGATTGGAAGGGATTAAGCCAAATCAGAAAGGAAGTAATAGATTGTGTTGTTGTTTTTGTTATTTTAGAGCTCAAGAATTCTTTAATATGAAACATTCCATCTGTTCTCTTGCACGCAAGTTGGATAGGGCAAATTACTCTTGTTCAGCTTGTTTTGCTTAGCTTTTATCTACTCTCCAGAACCTTCAGAGAATGTATTTTCTCAAAGATAGTCTAATCTTTCCCCAGAAATATATCTTTGGTCAACACAAATGAAAGCCAAACTCTGCTTTTGAAACTGAGATCTTTTCCATTGAAGAATTGAGAAGATTCTGGGTGTTCCCCCCCCCTCCAGCACAGTCTGTATTTCTTAGCTCATTATTATCTCTGTGTGTTGTGTGTGAAAAGAACAAATTGAAATCATTTGCTTTGTGATTCTTTCAGAAAACCGACAACCTTCAAAAAGAGGCATGAACATGTAAGTATGCTGAGCCACCCCTGCAAAGTATATGTTAGATGCGTACTCCTTAATCTATTACCCTTCAGATGATAACTACCATCACCCTTGATTCTTTCCTGTGCTGAGTCAGAACAAGAGGAGCTGTAGGTATGTCAAGAGGTTATCAGACTAGGAAAGGCAGTTAGGTGAAACTGGGTTCAAAATGGGTGAATGGGAAAGGAATAGTTTTTCTTCCAAAATTTAACAATGATTTCCACTAGTTTGCCAGCAGCGCTTGGAAGAAAAAAAATAGAAATTGAACTCTTGCACAATAATTTTTCACGTTGTAATAAACTCAGGAAATCAGGTAACGGAATAACATAGTTGGAAGGGACTTTGGAGGTCTTTTAGTCCAATCTTCTGCTCAGGCAGGAAACCCTATCCCATTTCAGACAAGTGGTTGTCCAGTCGCTTCTTAAAAACTTCCAGTGTTGGAGCACTTTTGGAGGCAGGTTGTTCCACTGATTAATTGTTCTAACTGTCAGGACGTTTCTCCTTAGTTCTAGGTTGTTTCTCTCTTTGGTTAGTTTCCATCCCTTGCTTCTTGTCCTGCCTTCAGGTGCTTTGGAGAATAGCTTGACTCCCTCTTCCTTGTGGCAGCCCCTGAGATATTGGAACACTGATATCATTTCACCCCTAGTCCTTGTGAGAGGTGGGAATGTATTTAATATGCAGGAGCATATTAAGGAGCAAAGATAAAAAGTAAGATGGGATCAGCATTTTCATTTTGTTCTAAATTTGTTTGAAATGAGTCAATCTATTGTAGAGCCCACACAAATGTTTTCTGTTGTTTCCCCCTTTAAATGTCAAGGAATTGCATAACTAAAATTTGTCACAATCAAGGGGGTTTCTGGGAGAAAAACAAAGAAATTGGGAGCCATGCGTATCCTGGAGGTATATCTTCAAAATTAAGCATGGGAAATCATTAAATCATTACAATAATAGGGAGTTACTCTGGCTCAGGGTTGTATTGTGGAGTCCTTGCTATTCTTTGGGCTTGGTTGTTTGCTTGCAGACATTTCATTATCCATGTAGGTAACATCAGTGCCAGTAAATGTGGAGCTTGGTCCCTATTAATATAGAGCACCTTACACTGCCAGTTTCGGTGGGGGTGTGGTTTTCTCCTTGGTAGTTCCTTAATTAGGGTATTGTTTTCTGCTTGATTGTTTACCTGGTGTTAATCCCTGCTTATCTGGATAGGGGCTGCTGTGGAGAGGATGTGTTCTGATATTTTTATATCTTTCTTAGATTTGTTATTGTCTCCATTAAATGGTGTGTAAATACAATTTATTTCCATTAATGGTTGATTTGTCTGAATGCCAGGCTTCCAGGAATTCTCTAGCATTTTTTGACATGACTTGACTTGACTTGGTCTAGAATGCTCTCAGTTTCCCGGTTGAAACTATGGTTGAGTCTGTCCAAGTGTTGTGAAATTAAGGAAATTTTCATTGTGTTCATGAATGCGCTCTGCTAATCTCCTGCCTGTCTGCCCTACAAAGTGTCTGTTGTATTTAAGATATTTTGGAGGGCTTTAGCCGGTTTTTGTTGGCCAGACTGGGCAATCATCCAGGCTAGGAAGGCAGACAAAAATAATCCAAAGGAAGGCAATGGCTAACTTTCTTATTCATTCCCCAAAGAATAGCGTGTACACATATATATGAAAGCACCTTGAGTCAAAATTGATTGAAAGGAGAAGAAAGCACCGGCAAATTACTCCTGTGATGTTGTCAGAAAATCTGCATGTTTGTAATTATCGGAGTTGAGCTGACATTGATCTCAGTTTTACTTTTTCTATATTAGTTATTATGTTTACTGATTTATGGTTGTAATGTAGTGGGGTTTTAATTAATTTAACCAATGTCTTAGCATCATAGACATCGTGTTTACATTAGATAAATTGCATCTCTTCTCCGTCTGATGACTTCCAGGTATTTTTGACTTCTAATGTCCCATAATGCTTATCCATAATAGCCCATTAGAGCTTTGGTCCTATATTTGGAGGGCATTGGGCTGTTGTAAGTTGCATTACTGAATTCTCTGTACTCAGATCACCATAGCTTTGAACTTGAGAACCTACTGATTTCATCAAGTTCTACCTTTGCTACGTTTAGCTTTTCTTTCAAGATTTTCTGGTACCTTCCATTTTAGGTAAGTTCAATCAGAAATGAAAAAGAGAAGTCGTCTTTTCTGGATTTGCTGAATATTCAAATCTATTTGAAACTCTTCTTTTAACCACCTTACTTTTGAGAAGATCTATAAACTTTCTTCTTTCAGCCCAACATGATTGCCAAATTCTAAAGTAGAGCAATTAAAGGTTTTTTTAAAAAATTATAGGAATCCCACATAAGTGGGAACATAAGTTCTCCCACTTCACCACCACGGTGCTTTTCCTAATTTTGTCTTTTGTCTCCTCTCTGCAGTGGCTTTGTAATTCAACATGAAGAATGGTAGTATATTCATCAGAAAGGAATTATTCATTTATATTTTTTAAACAACAAAACCAAATGTCAGAGATTGAATTTAACTTATAACTATTTTTACTGATGACTTTTAAAGCTAAGAAACTGCTTCAAGTGACCTGGATATGGGCTTGGTAGAAGGATACAACTTGTACCATTGAGCAAAGTGATCTGGATGTCTGAAGAGATCTCAGAGGAGGCATGTGCAGAGACAAAAAGTTTGTTTTGTTTATTGAAGAATTTTTAAATTGCTGTTTCTCCTTCCTTTCTTCCCTTTCCTTGACACTTAAGAGTTATATTTTTAAAGTAACACCTCATCCCTTCCCTCCTGCTAATTTTTTTAAATCAACTTTTTATTTTCATTTTTAGGAAAGGACATCCTTTGTCTCTCTTTATGTCCAACATGTACAAAATTGTGTTGTCTCTGGATTGGCTTTCTGTCTCATCCTTCCTCTTTTTATTAATAAAAGATAAAAGATTTTGACTGGAAAAAGCAGATTTGTGTGTATAAAACCTAAAAAAGAGTACAGTCTTTCCACCACACCTGCACATTGCTGATGATTTGGCAAGCCTCTGTGAATTCATACTGAATATGCTCATGCATTTATGTTTGCCTTTTTAATTTTGAGACAGTCAGGTTCCCAGGCCTCAAATTTTCATAGGAAAGTTTATGGAATCTCACTCTGTATTCCTCTGATTGGTTAATATTTGATGGGACTAAGAATTGTTTTTGTATTCCTGAAGTTGAAACTCAAGTACTTTGGCCACCTAATGAGAAGGAAGGCCACCTAATGAGAAGGGCCTAATGCTGGGAAAGATTGAGGGCAATAGAAGAAGGGGACGACAGAGAATGAAGTGGCTGGATGGAGTCACCGAAGCAGTAGGCGTGAACTTAAATGGACTCCAGAAGATGGTAGAGGACAGGAAGGCCTGGAGGAATGTTGTCCATGGGGTTGCGATGGGTCGGACACAACTTTGCAACTAACAACAACATGGAAATGGTTCTTAGTCATCCAATCACCTCCGGAGTGCCTCTCCCGCTCTATCTCCATATAGATTTCCAACCTCATACTTTCTACAAGTGTCTTAAAAATGTCTGAAGAGTGGAATACTGGAAGCAAAGTGGTGTCTATTCAAAAGCAGCCAGGTTATGAATGAAGAGCATCTACATTCTGCACGAGAAGCAACTAGATTCTGCAATTTCTATAAAGGAATGCCTGTGTAGTTTTTTTCATACCCAACTCTTCTTTTTTTTCAATCCTGTCCTGTACTAGGAGTGATGCTTGATGGCATTGCAGCAATTTTGGTAGGAAATTCCAACCTGACTGTTCCAGGTAAAGGAGGCTACTCCTTTGCAGACTAACCAAGAAACTCACTGAAATATTAAGGTTCTTCCTGCCCCACTAGATCATGACAACACAGAACTTTGTGATGTTGGGGAAGTTATAATTATCAGACCTTGAAAACCTTTTCTATTATTTTGGATTCCTTTAACATTTACAAACAAAAGATGCAAAGAAGAAGCATTCTACCTACTTCTGTGCATGTCTCAGCTGATTTTATTATATTGTCCTGAATGAGGGAAACCCGAGAGAAAGACAATTAATTAATGTTTCTGTCAAAAAGGTACTTGTGTCATTCTAGGAAAGAAAAAGACTTGTAGTAAATAAACCTTTCCTGGAAGAGCTGGAGAATTACAGACAGGTCTCAGATGTCACTGCATACAGTGATTTAGAAAGAGATGACACAACTAAAGATCCACATAGATCTCTCCTTTTTTCAAAAAAGAAAATTGTGAAGTAGGATTGAAAATGTCTTGATTTGTCATCTGTGCCAGGAACCGAATTAGAGAATGGAAGGGGATAGTTCTTTCAGTTCCTTTCAGTCATGTATGATTCTGGTCCTTTCTGTTGGGTTATATCCTCCATTCTATGGTGCTGAAGGGCTAGTGTTTGGCACCTTAATAAAAGCCCATGACATCCCATGGAGTTTCAAATGCCCTATGCTGTTTAATATCTACTTACTGTAAGTCCACAGGGTAAGCCATCCAGACAAAGGTGGCATATAAATTTAATAAATCATGAAACTTTTGGAGATACCTGCTCTAATTCTAGGGAAGCAGTTGATAGATCTGCACTAGTTCCCAATGCCTCTTTGGCATATCCAGAAAAATGGCTTGGGAGAGGTCCTCTCAAACTTTCATGAAGTATGCCCAATTTTTCAAAGGACATTTGTTGGGCATGCAGGAGAGGACTTTCTGCTGTGCTTGCAATCGTCTCCCTCCAAGCTTCTTCAACCAAGTCTTGAAGCATGGAAAATTGCTTTATGCTACAAATTCCATTATTTCCATGTTAACTCTGACATGTTGGCTAGTACCCCTTTGCCTCATTCCTCCAAGAGATCCACTAGCCATCACAATCGGTTATGCTGAAAAAGTAGTTATAGCGGCGTAACCCGCTTGCGTACGGTTTGCAAAGTTTTTTTTCCCCCAGTAGTGTTCTTTGTTCATACAATGCCCTAAATCAGGGCTTTTCAACCAGTGGTACGGGTACCACCTGTGATACATTGACACCTGGCAGGTGGTACGCGACCATCCTAGAAAAGTAGCGGGGGAGGGGAATGAGCTGAACGGTGACAGCACCGCACAAGCCTGAGTGAGAGATGGCTGGAGCTTTAGTGCTGTCGTGGCTCAGCGGAAGCGTCAGGATCAATGGCGCTTTCCAGCTGATCGGCGCTTCTTCGGGGCTGTCAGGGCTCAGTGGAAGTGCCAGGATCAGCACCAGGCTCCAGCTGGAGCTCAGCGCTGATCCTGGTGCTTCTGCTGAGCCCTGAAGAAGCATCAATCAGTGGAAAGCAGCACTGATCCTGGCGCTTCTGTTGAGCCCTGAAGAAGCGCCGATCAGCTGAAATGTTGCAGCATCTCCAGGATCTTCTGATTTACATTCAGATGCTTGGCAACTGATTCATGTTTATGACGGTCACAGTGTCCCAGGGTCATGTGAAGTGACCAAAACCTGCTGTAACCATCCAGCAGATGGGGGGGGGAATAAAAACCAAACACCCCTCATCCCACCCCCACTGCCAATCCTCCAACAGAAAGGCTCACAACAATGAAAACCTTGGACAGGAGGAAGAGCGCCGCTGGGTGGGCAGGCAGGTGTCTTGCTCGGCTGTGGCTTGGGGGGGGGCACTTTTTTCAGTGCCATTGTAACTTCGAACAGACACTAAGCAAACTGTTGTAAGTCGAGGGCTACCTGTACTTCATCACTTTTTTTCTTTTTTGTCATGTTTTTAACCCCTTGCTAGGCGACGGGTCGTACTCGGATGTTGCCATATCCTAAAAGTGGTACAATGGGTGAAAAGGTTGAAAAGCCCTGCCCTAAATCACAAGCTAGCTGCATAGGCAAAAATGGCAGATGTTTGGTTTATAGTTTAATGCAGGGATCTCCAACCCCCGGTCTGAAGACTGGTACCGCTCATGGTCCATTGGGAACCAGATCGTGCAAGCGGCAGGTGAGCGCTCAAAACCATCCCCTCTTCTCCCTCCCCCCCCCCCCCGCTGCCACTGCCGGTCCACAGAGCAGGAAAGGTTTGGGGACAGCTGGTTTAATGTATTAGGCTACCAGAGGCAGTAATGTATGTTGTTACAAAATATGAAAATAATACAAAAGGGAAAGCAGGTGTTTGGAACAGGTTCTTCACATAAGTATTTTTAAGTAAGCCAAGTGTTTGTTTTGATCCTTCAATTACTCCATCCACACCTGCATAACTATGCAGTGGCATGTTGCATCAACTGGATCTGACCAAAGTATATTAAACCCATCTCTAGACATTCCGCCTTGTGGTGGTCAACCTAGTGTGGATGTCAGCAAAACAGGTGACTGGCAGGGTTCACTTTCTCTTTAAGAATTTAACCATGGCCTCAATCCTTTGCACTGTTACTATGGAAGGAAACCCATTAAAATGGTTGCAACTTGCTTCTAAAGGTCATGCATGGGATGTTCTGTGTAAGCCATTCTTTATATAGATCCCTTTCCCTGAAGTCGGCAGCGGCCCAAAATAAAGGCAGCATCCCCATCATGCTTGCCTTCTCATTGCACAGGCAAATGAGCATGTCAGGAATAATAGCATCATTAGCAATTCCTGAGCAAAATACCCCAGCATCTTCTTTCTGCAATTGCAGTTTTTCAAAGGAGAGGATATTCAGGCAGCCTGTGCGTTGCTAGAATATGAAAGGGTCAATCATCCACTTCAGCAGAAGAGTGCTTCATTAGTTGGTTACTTTTTTATTTTGCAGAAGCTTATAATTAAAATCATCTTAGTTTGTTATCAGTGATTATATATTCAGTGTATATCATTAACAGAACATAGACTAGGATTGGTGTATAAACTTGAGAGCCTATCAATTGGAAGTGTTTTAAAAACTTCTTTGCTTATCTAACTTGCTCAATAACAATTCTAAAGATTCTTATGTTAAAAATACTACAAAAGAAGGCATGCATACACACAGATCAAAGTTTAATACTCTACTAAGCTTTTCTTGGGGGAAAAATAAGCTATCTATGCCACCCAGTTAGAAAGGCTGGCCTTTCTGGAGTAAGGATGTCTCCTTCCATGTAAAGCATATTCCCCATCCTAGCATCTATAAAATGTATTGTGTAACTGCAACCTTCAAAATTCCTAGAGCAGTGTTTCTCAACCTTAGCAATTCTTAAGATGCGTGGACTTCAATTCATTGGCTCAGTTGACCCCAACCGTCTTAGATTGCCAAGGTTAAGAAACATTGTCCTACATGCTGGCCCAGGGTTCTGACCTTGGTAATCTCAATGCATCTGGTGGGGATCTGTTCAGGAAAGTTTTTTTAGTGGTTTTGTTCTAATCATATAAATGGTAAATAATATGAATAGGTGGGCTTTGTGAAATCAAGAGAGGCAATCTGAGGGAAATAAATCTTGCAAAGAAAGCATTTTGGAGAAATGTCATCTTTGCCATGTTTTAAATTCCTGTTTGATGGCAAATGGAACTATGGGACAGGATTGATGATGAAATATTTGCAGCGAATGAACTTCTCAACCGATTAACCATTAAAATTTGGTGGGGGGGAACATGATTATACAGGGAAACATCTAAATTTCTTGCTTGTGTGTTAAAGTCTTGGATAAGCATAAGTCACTTTTCTAAAAGTATAATTCTCCACTCAGCACTGCACTCAGTAATAATTAAGCTACTTTTCACCCTTCCTTCCTTTCCATTTAAGGATAATTCTTAAACTGATAAATCTAAAAGCGGTTGCTACTACTGTAATTCAGGAAATCCAACATCCAAGCAGAGCAAAAGTAAAACAAGCTGAAGATAATTTGGCTTTCTTAGGCTGATGAGCTGGCCTCCTTGTTTCATATTTTCTAAGGAGAAAAAAGAAAGGTGAATGGTAACCATATAGTTCCAGAAACAAAACTATTAGTTTTTTAGAGATATTAGTCTAATTTGGTCTCTCTAGAGTGGGAAAGTCCATGTCATATTTTCAAGATACAAACCAATCATGTATGTTTTAATCATATACTATAGCAGGGGTAGACAACCTTGGCTCTTTTGCTGGCTCAGGAATTCTGGAAGTTGAAATCCAGGAATCATAAAAGAACCAAGGTTGCTTACCCCTGTCCTATGGATTACTTACCCACATACTGCCACAAACTCCTTTTATTCAGACCTTTCTCCCTGCAAGTTATTCTAAACACCATTTATTGAATGCACAGCTGTAAATATGTAAGGTGCCATTACAATAAATTTGATCAAACCAATTCAAGAAAGTTGCTCATTTAGCTTTTATATCCATACCTGTGTTCTCCACACATGCGTATATCTAAAAAAAACTTTTTTTTGTTCCAGCATTATGAAGCGTAAAGCCATTTATATGTTCTGTAATCTAGCTGGACCTGCATCTAAAGCATTATAAGTATGGAATCTTTGAAACCTATACATCCAGCAGTATGTTAGGTCAATTGGATGCAGTCAAGATATTTTTTTCCTTTTCTTCAGAATAACATTTGAACTGCAGTTCTTTATTGCATGGTAGATATTTGTAGCTAATGTAAGATACAAGTCACTATTATTAGCATTTCTGAATCGGAGGTGGATAGCATTAGCTGGGAAATAAGGAGTACGTTGAAGAGCTATGGCGCTTATGTCCTTTACCCCTAGGCTAGCCCTACTTAACCTGCTATCTCCAGATAGGTGGGATTTCAAGACAGTTCCTAGCCAGCAAGTCAAAGAGTGTGCAAATAGAACATCCAGCCATCTAAAGAGTATTAAGTTGGGAGAGGCTGCCGTGGCAATTTGTGGGTAGGCATTTGGGGAAGCAGGATACTGCCCTAGAGAAGCCTCTGGTCAGATTGAATAGGATTCTTCTCAAGTCACCTGAAGAGAGCCATCAGTTTTGATCTCCAGAATAGGTCACATTCTCAGGATCCAAAATGCCTGCAAAGACAAAATATTAGCACATGTAAAGAGCTGAAAAATCTATTTCTTAATTTGAAAGAATTAATTCGTGCAATGTTTATTACCTCCTTGGGGGGTTTTTGTTTCAGGGCTGTGGTGAGTAGGGTGGACTGGTTCAGTGGGATGAGCTATTCCTATAAATATATATATATGTATATATATGTATATGAAATGGTTTACAAAGTAAAAAAGCAGTACAAGTTTCAAGAAAAAAAGAAATACAAGAAAAAAAGACAGAAAAGAAAAAAGATATAAAGAAGTGGCTTCTGATCTTTACAGCAGTTATAAATGCGTTTATATTTTGTCCTCCATCTCTATAGTTCTGTCATTGCTTCCTTCTTTCCATATTCTATCTTTTCTAACCCCATAAATCACAAGTTACTTTTTTCCATTTTCAGCAAAAACAAAACAAAACAATAAAGGGTATCTAGTTACTGATACATGTAGTTGTCTTTTCCCTAACCAAATTCCTACCTCTGCAAATGTCATTTTTACCAACATTCCTTTATTGTGTGTATTTCAAAATCTTCAGCGATCCTTTTTCCGGGAACTGTGCAACTGACACACTGTTTAGCCTTGGGATAAAGCTGTCCTGGTTTTACAAAAAGCCCCCTATTCTTCTAGACCAGTGGTTCTCAATCTTTTTAATGCCACAACCCCCCAACCGGTTGCAAGTCGAGGATTACTCAAATGGTCGTAAGTCGAGGACTACTCAACTGGTGCAGCACCATTTGCAGAATGGGACTTTTGGCAGGCTCAGCAGGGCAGAGACAGCCTGGACAATTCCTATTGTCTTTTGAAAGCCAATAGAATTAGACTCTATTCAAGAGAGTCTATTCTATTGGCTTTCAAAAGCCAATAGAATAAAAGGAAGTAGCACAGCTAAGGAAAAGGGAGAAAAAAATGGCGGACTGCATTGTTTGGCGACCCCCGTGAAATGATCGTTCGATCCCAAATGGGGTCCCGACCCACAGGTTGAGAACAGCTGTTCTAGAAGCAAAGTGCTTCTAGATTGAAAAATTCTGGACCATTAATGCATGAAGATTAGCTTTTTCCTGATCAGGAGGTACCTATACTTCTAGATTAGCTTGTCTATGAACAAGCAGCCCCTCCCTTTGGTCTAGATCAGGCATGTCCAATCTGAGCCCCACATGCAGCCCACATGCAGTAATGCGGCCCTACAATCGTAAACTTTTAACATTATTATGTGATTTTTAGCTATATTTTTCATGACTCAATTTACACGTACTTGAGTATGGATTATGTAGGCAACAATGGAACGCTGTGTAGAGCAGTGTTAACTTCACCTCCCATGCCCACCACACAGTCAAATAGAAATAGACAGCAATAACAAATATGTGTCTGATAATCTGAGGTGTGTGCCTGTGAAGACAGGTGTTTATTAATATTAATCCAACAAAAAAAAACATTCTAGGTTTTTTTGTTGGGAAGCAGACATGTAAGTTTTCTTATTTAATTATTGCACTTGGGCTTTCTGTATTAGTTTAATAAGTTAAAATAGCTTTTTAGCAGCTGTGATAGAATAACTGCAAAAATTAATTAAATGGTTCTTTGCTCATGACATTGATATAATTAGATATGCCATTGCTAATAATAGAAAAATAAATGGTTGCTTATTTTTTTTACGCGAGCACGGCTTCAACATCCTCTCGAAAGAAAACAAAACCCTAAAAAAGGAAAATTGTGGATTAAGAGTGCTCAATGGAAAATGGAGAATTGAATACTTTTTTGTCAAGACAAATAATAAGGCACTATGCTTAATTTGTAAGGAATCGTGTCAGTTTTCAAAGATTACAATTCAGCAGGAGATTATAGGTAAAAACATGCTGCCAAATTCGATGCATACCAAGAAACATTTTGTAAAAACAAAATCGCAGAATTTTTAAAAAGTCTGTCATCTCAACAATTTTTTTTAAACAAATTTACAACTCAAACAGACTCTATTGTGAAAGTTATGGGACAGAAAATCTGATGGCAAAAAAAATCAAAAACCATTTACTGATGGTGACTTTATTAAGCAATTTACAGAAAGTAGGAGAAATAATTTGTCCTGATTTTAAAAAATGGATTTTTCTAAAATCATTTTGTCTCACCAGCCTATAGCCCAGGGTTCTCAACCTTGGCAACTTTAAGACTTGTGGACTTCAACTCCCAGAATTCCTCAGCCAGCAAAGCCTTTATGTCAGCAAAGCTGAATGAAGAATTCTGGGAGTTGAAGTCCACAAGTCTTAAAGTTGCCAAGGTTGAGAACTCCTGCTATAGCCGGAGGGCATTGTATACATTTGTGAACAACTTTTTTCAAGAATGAAGCACACGAAAAGCAAAATTAGGTGGACATTTTCTGACGAGCACTTGAAAACTCACTAGGAATTGCAACCACTTCCATTGAACCAGGCATTTGATGCATTGGTTTTATAAAAACAAGCACAAATATCCCACTAATTTTATTTTTATATTATTGAAGGATGGTTGAAGGACCTCTGCCTCAGAGGAGAGAGATGCCAGAGCTAAAGGGGAAGGATCACCTGGAGGTCACAAAGGGGGGCAACTCATTCAAATGGTGATGGGCGGGGGGCATATAAATGGGACCCAAAGGGCAGGCTTTTGCAGGGGAAAGTATCACCTATTTTTAAGACCAGTGGTGTATTCCAGCCCTCTGAACTCATTCCCAGACACTACACATTAGTCTCTTGGAGGCCCAGGACTTTCGTTGTAATGATGAATGCCAAGCCCCACCCTCCTAATCTTATTAGGGAGAAGCAAATTGGCCTGGCATGCATTACCAAGATCCAGCTATCTCCAGAGGGCGGGAAGGTTCCCCTCTCAAAGATGTGCCGGGAGGGAGGGTGTTAGGGTTTGGCACCAACCAAGGCCACAGGGCAGGGGAGGGGGAGTGGCAGTTGTCATTCAAGAGTCTTTTGGCTTTCAGGGATCATGCTCCCCAAGTTTCTAGATGGGAGACCATGTTTCTGAGACGACACCGGATCAAATGGGAGCGTTGCTGCAATACCAGCTTCCCTGATGCGTAGCAACCTCCCTGCCTCAGCTGCTGGAGGCCAATCTGCTTCCAGGTGCAATTCAGGGTGTTGGTTATTACCTTTAAAGCCATCTAAAGCAGGGGTGTCAAACTGCCAACCCTCAGGCTGGATGCATCATGCCGAAATCGCGCCCACCGCATTGTCGGCAATGGGGAAAAAAAGTCATGATACATCGCGACACGTCATGTAATGTTGCGAGTTTGACACCCCTGATCTAAAGCATGAATCTGGGATATCCGTGGAACCATCTTTTCCCAGTGGGGTTGGCCTGTCCCACTCAAGGGGCCTACTGTGGATCCCATCAGCCAAAGAATTTTGACTGGTGGGATCCAGGAGAAGGGCTTTTTCTGCCCTGGCCCCATCCTTTGGAATATCTTGCACAGGAGGTAAGATCTGCCTTCTCTTTTTTACCCTTCAGAAAACACCTGAAAACTTGGTTAAGGTGTCCTGATGGAAAAGCTGTTGGCTGGAGGTGATTGGTGCATTAATAGAGAAGGCATTCCCCATTTCTTCATTCCAAACCTATGGACTTTTAGTTTAATTTTTTTTTTATTTTAATCTGTTTTTCTATTTATAATTGTCTGGATATTTGTATATTTTATCGCAAAGAAAGGTGAATGGTAACCATATAGTTCCAGAAACAAAACTATTAGTTTTTTAGAGATATTAGTCTAATTTGGTCTCTCTAGAGTGAGAAAGTCCATGTCATATTTTCAAGATACAAACCAATCATGTATATTTTAATCATATCCTATAGCAGGGGTAGGCAACCTTGGCTCAAGCAACTCAGAGTTGCTTCAGACTACAAGATGGGCGGCAAACAAATTTAATATTCATAACCATAGCCATCATATGAGTAACTCTCCCCCTTGATAGCAGAAAAAAGCTCTTTACCATCACAGTCTGGACGTCCAAGGATTGAAGAGCCCTCAATCTTTGTGCCATTTTTGTAGACACACCAGCAATAGCCACTGCTGGGAAGGCACTGCATAGGCAGATAGTTCCCCTTTTCATCACAATGGGCACAGAATCTTCCTGGATGGACACCCTTAACACACTCTTCCTTCTGACACTTGGTTTTCCCTTTAAAAAAAAAAAAAAAGGGAGAACCAAGGAAATGTAACGTTTAGAGCTGACTGCCAGTACTCTCGCTGTCCTTTTAAAGCACATGTAAATCACAATAACCACATCCCTTGCCTTCAGAAAAAAGCATATGATGATATGGAGTGTATGGCTGTCAGTGCAGGCTGTGGTGTCAATTCCCCTCAGCCTCGCCCAGCAAGGACAATAACAGAGTAACAAGTTGGAAGGGACCTTGGAGTTCTATCTAGTCCAGGGGTAGGCAACCTTGGCTCTTTTATGACTGGTGGACGTCAACTCCCAGAATTCCTGGGAGTTGTCATGTCATGCTGGCTCAGGAATTCTGGGAGTTGACGTCCACCAGTCATAAAAGAGCCAAGGTTGCCTACCCCTGGACTAGTCCAATCCCCTGCTCAAGCAGGAAACCCTATAATATTTCAGGCAAATGGTTGTCCGCTCTCCTTTTAAAAACCTCCAGTGTCGGAGAATGGCCAGGAATGGATGGAGTTGTCAAATATCCAAGATATTTGATCCTGGAGGGATCAGAGTTAATAATTGCAGTAGTTTATGATAGATTAGAAGTCATTGTGGACTTTCTGCGCATTAATTACAATAGATTGTTAACAGAGGGCTTTGAAGTTTAGCTTTGCTGTTGGCTGTTATCTATTCTTTCTTATAGTGGATAGATGTTAGTTCAAACTGATTTGGTAAACAGAGTTGTCAAAGTTCATAAACTGTGGATCTGTTTTCAAGGGAGGGAACTATTATGGTTGAAATATACTTATCGGTATTCAAGTGGGGGGGACAATTCATGGGTGTGGGGTTTTTTATGCCCATTTTTTGTCTTAGTTTATCATTATTGTTCTTGTTTTCTTTTTTCTTTTAGAGTTTATATTTTATGTTTGGATGTAAAATAAAAAAAAATATGAGAGGAGGAGTGGCGGGAGTTGTATTTCAGCTATGTCAGAAGAGGTGCAGTTCTCCAATGCTGATAAAATTAAATATGACAAATTTATGTATTGAGCATAATTCAGAAATGAAGTGTTTCTCAGAAGGTGGCACAACTACACTCCAGAAAACCAGTCTCTCAGGGAGAAGCACTCAGTACAGTTTGACCCAGGATGGTGGGGCTTTTGCATACACAACACACAACATTACAAGGGAAAGATAGCACCCAAGTCTTCTGTATAGCCCTTGCACCACACATAAGCAGTCTGGAAGCTCCAAGCAAAGTTTTAACATATGGCTTGGCTGACTGTGTCAGTTGCTCTTTAATCATCAAAACAGGTTGTTCCATTGTTGCTACACCAAGGAAAAGGGAAGGGTAAGGAAATAATGTTTTTTGTAACAATATGCCACTTTAATTAGGACAGCTATTTCATTGGGATGGCTCCCAGGGAAACCATTTAGCCTAATGAGAGCAAACACTAATGAGTAGTTTAATGAAGGTAGTATTAATATAAATTCCGCTAATGGGGGTAGTGGCTGATGACTGCTGGGTGGCTAATTGATATGAAAATCTCAGCCATGGGGGTTTGATTTCAAAAACCGCAGAAATCACAGAAGGAAGAATTCTTTTTAAATTCAAGATTGGTGCTCAAGTTTGTTACATAAAGTTACTGAACTTACTGAAGCGTTTTTGAATCATTTACGGAGGGAGTTGCTAAAATGCCTAAGATGGTCCCATGGGTTTTAAATTATACTGAAGAGGCTCTTAATTTGCACCTCTGGTCTTCCTTCCTCACAGATGCAACTTCTAGCTTGTAACTGAAGTATTAAATGAATCACTTATTGCCAGGTGTGGGGGGGAGGGGGGGAGAGAGAGAGAGAGGCACATTCTTCAGCTTTGTGACCTCCAGTGCTTTCTGGGCTCTATTACAGTATGAAAAGCTCATCAACCACCAGTCTCAATAAGTTAACAGGTACAGGTGATCCTCAACTTGCAACCTTTGCTTGTCAAAAGGCCACAAAAGGAGATCATGCGGCCCCAGGACAAACTGGTCATTAAGTCACTTTTTTTCAGTGCCATTGTAACTTTGAATGGTCACTAAATGAACTGCCCTAAGTCAAAGACTACCTTGTATTGCGTACATTTTGTCCATTGCCTCTTCTTTGTAGAAAGGCAAGGAGCTACAGATACAATGGATCCCCAAATCAGGCATCTTGTAGTAGCAAAACAATCAGTACTGCACAAATAGCTTGTTCCAAAAGCCATGCTACTTCTGTATTAATTGATCCAGAAAGACACCCGCCCCCACCAAATGATGTCCAATGTGTTGAAAGCAGTCCCTTCAATGGCTGACAGGGAACACCTGGCAAAGAAGAAGGGGCAACAAGAGACAGGAGTGGCTTGGCTGCTGCTTTTCACGTTAAGATCCTTCTTGTTCTCTTGCTCACTGAGATCAGCCCTAATCTGCTACTGGCATGGAGCATCACTCTTGATACATATAGACACCCAATAAAGATGGACATTTTCTTCCCAGCTTAAGACTTTGGTCAATTTACATCAAGAGGGGCTTTGAATGTTTTACACAATGAGTTATACCCAAATGGCAATATTCTTTGGCACCTCCTTCAGTAATTCCCCTGGACATGTTGCTCTCAGAAATATATTGTTGCAGGGCCAAAGACAAGGGGCTTATTTTATGCAAAAAAGGAACTGAAGGGCACAGAATATAATTTTACAGCTGGCAACAAGACTACTGAATTCAAGCAACATTTGCATGAAGAGAGGAGCAATACCCTTGGCATCAATTAAAAATACGTTTGCATCTAGAAACGCCTTCTAGGCAGAGCATTACCTTTGAGTGAGGGGCTTGCCTTGGCTTGTTTGAGAATGGAACCAAACTTCCATCTAGTTCCCACAAATTAGTCTGTTCAGGAAGGGAGTTTTTCCTCTTCCCACTCTCCATCCCAGCTAGTTTGGAGGATGGGAGGACCATGTAGGATGGAGAGAAGGAATTTATGGAAATGGCAAAATTCCCTTTGCAACAGAACAAGAGATTTCCATTTACAAGATGGGGCCTTTGAATTCCTTCACAGAACATGGGGCTTCTCTCCAATCAAACAAAGCAGTAAGTGCTGAGTTCTTCCCCTAAAGGACTCCTCTGCCCAGTGGTGTCCAATTCTAGAGGGTGGAGCTCATCTCTATTTCTTAGACAAGGGAGCCAGTGTTGTCTACAGATATTTCTGGAGTCATGTGGCCAGCACGACTTTACAGCGAGGTGCATGGAACACTGTTACCTTCCTATCAAAGTGGTGTCTGTTTATGTACTTGTATTTGCATGCTTTCAAACTGCTAGGTGGGCAGAAACTGGAGCAAGTAATGGAAGCTCACCCTGTTGTGCAACTCTCGGGTCTCAAATCCAGGTTGTCAGCTTTCCAGCTGACAAGCTCAGTGTCTTTAACCACTGAGCCATCGCACTCCCAACCCCATTCTTCCCTTATGAACCCTGATAATATGTACATGCACATTACAGTGTGCCCTGATGTGCCCAAGCTGTGCACTTCCTTGACCTCATCATCCAATATTGCTGGTCAGACATGCATATTTTGAGTATTTTTAAAACCAAACGCATCTTCCTGCAATTGGCTTTCTTCGTTATTATAACGCGAAGTACTGGAAGTCCTCAATGTACGACCACAAACCGAGCCCAAAATTTCTGTTGCTAAGCAAGGCAGTTGTTAGGTGAATTGTGCCTCATTTTATGACCCTTTTGCCACAGTTAAGTGAATCACTGCAGTTGTTAAGTGAATCATGAGGTTGTTAAATGAACTTGGCATTTCCCATTGACTTTGCTTGTTAGAAGCCAGCTGAGCTGATCACAAATGGTGATCACCCGACCCCAAGACAGGGCAACCATCATAAACACAGGTTAGTTGCCAAGTGCCCAAATTCTGATCACGTGATCATAGGGATGCTGCAACAGTTGTACCTGTGAAAAACGGTCATAAGTCACTTTCCTCAGGGTTTTTGTAACTTCAAATGGTCACTAAATGAATGGTTATAAGTCAAAGACTACCTGTGTTGTACTGTACTGATGCCAAAACAACTAGACACAAGGAAAGTATTTTTCCCCATGCCATCACTCTGCTAAACAACTAATTCCCACAACACTGTCAAACTATCTACCGTAGTAGGGCTGTATTACTATTATCTTTCTCATCTTTCCTATTACCTATTTCCTCATCCTTTTATGACTATAACTTTGTTGCTTGTATCTTACGGGTTATATTAAATGTTTTATTTTATTTAGTATCCTGGTATGATTTATGTTGATGGCTTATTTAGTATCCTATGACTATCACTAAGTGTTGTATCTTATGATTTCTGATGAATGTATCTTATGATCATGTTTTATCACTTGTTGCTTTTATGTACACTGAGAGCTTATGCACCGGAGACAAATTCCTTGTGTGTCCAATCACACTTAACCAATAAAGAATTCTATTCTATTCTATAAATAAAGCTTCATAGATCGGATGTAGGGAGATTCTATCCTGACCCTTCTGCATATACCTTAATATTTAACTTTCCTCACAAAGCTTGATAGCATCGCAATACTTGGAACTGCCTTCTAGAATATTGTTTGCTGTTCCTATTCATTTCCTACACCTTTTTAGGGTGATAAGCTTAAGCACAAGTAAAATATAGCATTTTGATCTGCTCTGAGTTGAATGTTGAATTCATCGTTTGGTTGCAAGAATTTCTTTAGTTCATGCTTAAAAGTTGTTTGTTTCCTTCAAGTCTAGCATATGTACCTTTTGTATTCTGTTTTTGGGCCATTTGGAAGATCAGCCACTTGTGTATCCAGGTTTCAAACTCCTGCAAACAGACCAGATATCATTACTGAAGGTTAATTGTATTAAATTAAGGCCATTATAGTTCGGCCCCTCTTTGTTAACCCCTTGGGGAATAATCAGTATCTTCTAAAGAGGGCTGTTGAAGATCCATGGGAAGCTGCAGATGCTTCTCATGTAAATAGAGAGGAAGGTAGAAATCCAGAGCCTTTCTGGTGGAACTATACGTGAACCTCACAGTGATAGTAGAAATCAGAATAAGGCAGTCCAGCATCTTGATAAGAATGAGAGAATCACAGAAGAGGGATGGGGGATCAGGGGAGAAAATCAAGGATATCTAAGGAGAAGGAACAGGATTCCAGGAACAACAGAGACTTACTTTCCAATCATTGTAAGCCATGCGGATCTTCAGCTGCCACATATTTTCCAGGAAGTTGCTTTTTAATTCAGGAAAAGTTCTGGTTGGGTTTTCTCGCTAAAGAAAGAAACATATTTACAGAAAAGATACAAGGGCCGTTGTTCAAGAGCACTAAGGCCAGGGTCATATGCTGATTATTCTTTTCATTTCATTTTGGCTTATTATGTGGCTAAGCCTTTGCAACTTGGTCAAGAAACTATGTTTAATACATGGTTTAGGATTATGCATAAATTCACATTATGCTAAACTATGCTTTGTTTAACTATGGCGTATTGAAACAACTGGTGTCCATTTCATGCAACATGTTTAGCCCAAATGAAGCATTGTGAGTGATGACTTTGTATGAACCAGGTTGATTACCAGGCTTAGTTTATACATCATGAGCAACTTGGTTTCAGCTGTCTAATGAAGTGCCATAATATGTAAGATCATCTAGTCATGACTGCAAGAGTTTTGCACGTTTGAACTGGATCACCTCTGCATTCTTCTGAACGGTAATTTAAGTAGAAAAGGAGTTGATGGGGTAGGTTGCTGGCATCCCTACCCCATAGTTTTCCTCCCTCCAATTTCCTTCTTAAATTCTCTTCCTTGTAAAGAATAAGGAAGCTGACCTTGATGGAGACATGCAGGTGCTACCTAGACAAAAGAAGCTGAAATTTTTTTTAAGTCCAGAAACAGATGACATTAGAAAGTGGTTTAGGCAGACACCTCCCTAATTCGTTGAATTATAGGAAGAAGGAGAAGGTGTAGTACAATGAGATTGTTGCAAGAGACTGTTATTACATCCAATGTCAGAGTTTTAGAAGGCTAAAGCTACTGTAGAGTTTATTTCCTAGCCTGGTCTACCTAATGGGGCTGACAATCGTCTCAGTAGGATTCCAAATCTAATGTAATTCTTATCACAAGAGAAAAGCAGATAGGCCAAAGAGGTTTTGAAACATCCATTTCACTCATCTGGTATAACTAACATCGAGTGTATGTGACTACATAGGCTGGGGAGTGGCCCTAAAACCCACAGATCAACCAAGAAGGGAACTTGAAATAAAAAGTACATCTCTCTTCACACAGTTAAAGTGAGAGCTCTTAGCAAGAGGAGCTCTCTGGCCAGGGCCCAAAGCAGTTACATAATTGACTGAAAAACCAGCACAGAATTACAGGTGTGCTTTGTTGCTTGAAGAAACAAACTGCTAATCAACTTAACCAGTGCAAACTGCTGCACCAAAAGTTCCAGCTTGATATGCTATGTTTTCACCAGCAGCTTCCTTAGATCTTGGCAGAAACTACTGCTAGGTTCTGTAAAATTTACTAAAGAAGGAATTTCCCACTCCCATTTTTCTCGGAGTTTGAGTTCCTCCACAGATTTTATGCATCTGCAGTCAAGGATCATTGCTGATTCTCATGTAGGGGAAAAAGTACTCATCAGTCAACTTCGCTGCTTGAAAAGCAAAGTGGATTAACAAGATTTACAAAAGTAGTGAAGTCTTTGATCTGATTCTAACTAGGAAGAAGGGCAAATTTTCTGCTGAGAATAGCTTAATGGTTGAGTTTAGATGCCAATCTGAATGAGCTTTCTTTCTAATATCTAACTTTCTTTCTAATATCCCATTTCTCTCCCTTGCTCTCAGTCTCCATGGCAGCCATCTTTCTCCGTCTTTTCTTCCTTCTTCTGTGGTAGGATAAGGACACCTACTCTTTCTAGGCATTAGAATAGTTTTCTTACAAAATCTTTTACAATTAAGCTAGGGGACATACAGGTAGTGCTCAACTTATAACCATTTGTTTAGTGACCATTCAAAGTTGCAACACCACTGAAAAAAGTGACTTATTACTATTTTTCACACTTACAACCATTGCAGCATCCCCATGGTCATGTGATGAAAATTTGGATGCTTGGCAACTAGCATGTATTCATGACGGTTGCAGTGTCCTGGGCGTCATGTAATCCCCTTTTGAAATTTCTGACAAGCAAAATCAGTGAGGAAGCCAGGTTTACTTAACGATCGGTAACTCAACTGCAGTGATTCACTTAACAACTGTGGCAAGAAAGGTCATAAGAAAGATCACAAAACTCACTTTAACAACTGTCTTGCTTAGCAATGGAAATTTGGGACTCAGTTATGGCCATAAATCGAGAATTGCCTGTATGCATTCTTACAACCCCAGTCATTTAGCCAATCTATATGATCTGGGGGCACTACAGTTAAAATTTGGGTCTCATATAAGCAACCTAGCCTTCCTTTTCTTTCTAAATCCTGCCTGCTCTCCTGCTGTCACAATCTTACTAGGGATGGAGATACCATCTTGCCCAGTTTCTCCACCAGGACAATCCATTTTCTGACAACTTTGGCAGGCCTATCCGGAACACAGTTTTGCAGGAAGGTGACCTTGCCATTGTCTTCTTGCGTTTAAGGCTACATACTGTGTCCAAACTGCATGCTTCTCCCCTAATGCCTAATGCTGGGTGGAAGGTAGGTTCAAGAAGGAGCCATAGACTTGAGAGGAGCTTGAGCACAACAGCATGTGGTGCAGTGTGTGTGTGTGCCTTATTCCTCAAATTTTCATGCCTCACTGCATGCAGATTTGTTGGACTATCCACAATCCAGACACAATGCTTTGTCAAAAATGCAAAAGTAACAACACGAGAGCCTTACCAAGAGCAGACGTTTGACTTGATCCTCAGTGCTGTTAGTCAGCTTGTTTTCCATCTGCAAAAACTGTGGAAAAGAAAATAGGGATTTAGAGAAGGAAAAGTGAAAATTAGAAAGAGCTCCCATTTCCCTGGAATTATGGTACATAGGTGGCATGTCTATTTTTGTGATCATAAGGGAGGGAAGAAACGAGGTCACTTAAACATAACAGTGCCTCGTTTTGTGTGTATCATCTCTAAATACACTTGTGCATAAATTTCTAAACATGTGCAATTTAGTTTGCAAACGCCATGAAAGTTTGTGCAAAAACATGTTGCCTTGAGAATACTACATAACCCTTGGTTGAGGTGCTGTGAAAGGTGAACTTTTAAAACTAGCCAGTTTTTCAGAATTTGCAGAACTGCCCACTGAAGTAGCTCAAGATCATGGGAATTCAACACACATAGACAACAAAAAGCCATGGGAAAGAGCAGTGGCCTTCACTGTCTCTCCTATTTACCTCTGGTTCATTCAGGGCCAAAGGCATCACATTAGCTATTGCCATCTTTGGACCTGACCGGACATCTGTGGGAAGAAAGAAAACTGTAAAATACAGAGAGAAAGAGATAAACATAAGAGCATTCACAAGTGCCTTCTACCCTTATAGTTGTGTCAAAGCAGGAACATAAGAATTTGAGTCCCTGGCTATAATCCAGACAAATCTCTGAAGCATGTTTACCTTTGTGCATGTGTGAGTGTGCCCAGTAGAAATTTTGGCTTGCTTTCTTTGAGTCAGAAACCCTGTCCGTCATACTCAACCACAAATTACTTTCAAAATCCCTTTTCCTACCGGATGGCTTTTTCCAAGCAGGATTAAATAAAGAGATCATGATGACCTGTGCAACTACAAACAAGATGTCACAAGCAAACCTTGTCTGAGGGTCATCTATCATCTTTGTGCTCTGCAGCTAAAAGTGAAAGGGGGGAGTAGGTTACTAACTTTTAGAGATGCTGCCAGTCAGGGAGTCCAGTTTCAGTTGCTGGGTGTTCTTGGTCAGTTTGTTGATCTGGTTGTCATGTTGATACACAAAGTAGACAGTCACAGCCTGGCCAGCGAGGAGCAAGGCCCCCAGGAGAGAAAAGACAGTGTAGGCAGTCCCACGGCTGCAAGAACTTCTGCCAAATATAAGAGGTGTGTGTCAGTACTCACCCAGTCATCCTAATGTCTATCCCTCCCTCTCTAACCCGAGGTCCTATACTGAAACATCTGCATTGAAGTGATGATGAATGCACATCTGCAGGATTCTGCTAGGGATACCCTTTGCTTAGACATTTCTTCCATTTATTAATGCAAACCTCTGCCTGTTGCAGTAATTACCAGGTTAGTTGAGATAGCAGGAAGACTCCATGATCCACGCTCCTTGTGGTTTCATTAAAATTAAAAAGAACTATAGAGAAAGAGCAAATGAAGGTGTTATGTCCTGAGCCTTGCAAGCAGGCTCGGCATTTGCAGGCAGTCCCGGGCAGGTGCAAACTGCCTGGGACCAGACAGGCTGTCACCAGCGCTTGTGCGCATGCGCGGGTGCTGGCACACGAAAAGTAACACATTGACCGGGGAAAGGCCTATATAAGAGGCTGAGAGTTTTGGACGTTGCCGGAGTATTCGATCTGTAAGCTGAATGAAGAATAAAGTAAATCTGAGAACTACAACTGCTTCTCGTGTCTTGCCATTTCACGAGGGACGCAACAGAAGGCATTACAGGTAGTCCTCGATTTACAACAATTTGCTTACTGACCGTTCAAAGTTACAATGTCAATGAATAAAGTAACTTATGACTATTTTTCCACATTTACGACCGTTGTTGCATCCCTGTGATCAAAATTCAGATGCTTGGCAGCAGACTCATATTTATGAGGGCTGCAGTGTCCTGGGATCACGTGATCCCCTTTTGTGACCTTCTGGCAAGCAGAGTCAGTGGAGAAGCCAGGTGTCATTAATTTAACAAATGCAGGGATTCACTGAACAATTCTGGCAAGAAAGGTCATAAAATGGGGCAAAATTCAATTAACAAATGACTCACTTAGCAACTCACTTTGGCACAATTGTTGTCATAAGTGGAGGACTACCTGTATCTTTTTCCCTTTCCCTCATGGAAATCCCTCCCTTTGGAAGTTGCCAAATGTAGCATAGCATAGAGCTGTGGTGGTGAACCCGTGGCATGCAAAGCTCTCTCTGTGGGCATGCACGCCTTCGCCCCAGTCCTAGATCTTCAGCTGGGTTTTATAAAATCTTTTCACTTTAGGCCTCCACCGTGTGCAAAAAAAAAAAAAAGGTTCAGTCAATCAATCAATTTCAACTTCTCACGGAAAAAAAAAGATCTCACAAAGTTGGAATTGATTGATTGAACTTTTTAGTCCCACCCAGTCTGCCATTACCACCGCAGCCACACCCACCCAATGGGCCACGCCCACCCAAATGGCCATACCCAGGCAATGGGCTACACCCAGGCAATGGACCACATCCACCCGGCACCCGATGATACATAGGTGGGTTTTGGGTTGCAGTTTGGGCACTCGGTCTCTAAAAGGTTCGCCATCACTGGCATAGAGGCATTTAAGTATATACTCCACCACCACCCACCTGAGCAAACAGTGCAGGGAACTGAAAATGGGAAAGAAGAGAAAAAAGCTCATCCACCCAACCTGCTTCTTAAAAAAAATATGAGATCTGCTCGTTGTACCTCCTGGTATCTTAACAAGTGGTTTTAAAACCTTAGAACTCCATAATTTCTCAAAGGAAGTTAGTAAATGACCAATAATGTAGATATCTCACTACAGTGGACGACTTGACAATAACTATCTTTAGATTGTTCTTAAAATAGAGGTAGAAAATCACGGACTAAAATGAGAGCTCCCCCCCCCCATTTTTCTCCCTCTTTTGCAACTCTCCTGCAAGATAAAGATATGTTTTATATATATATATATAACACAGACCAAACTGGATACAGTGTAATAGGCTTTAAATTTAAAAGAAAATTATACATGGCCAATTAAAAAAAAAAAGTCCCCTACCAAATTATAGAAAATCCCCTATCTTCCCCTCCCAAAGCTCACAAAATGACCGGGTCCAAAAACAAAATTGGGAAATTCCCAAGAGACCTTTATCTGATCCATTAATTTGGATCTGTTGCTTGGAAAATAGAAGTTGAAAGTGAAAGAGAAGAAATATTTCACTGCACAACATGAGAGTATAACAAATCGAAGTTTTTGTTCTGGCCACTTCTCTTGCACATGTGCACTTTATGACTGTTTCAGGAAAATCCACAGTGTGTGTGGTCAAAAATAATCAAGATGTGTGACATGTACAAAACAGGCGGAGTTTTATATTGACTGATTATAGAAGCAGTTACAGGTTACAAAGGACTTTTGAAAAGTCACCAGTTTTTTTTTTAAAGATGGATACATTGGGCAACACTGTCCTAGAAAAGGCTTTTCCATGTGCCAAGTTTTATATGCAGGTATAAGTAACGAAGAGGGACTTTCAGTATGGTTTCCTTCAACTGTGTGCAGAACTAGCGTGTTTGTTTAATCTTGTCAAATATTATATCTGCTTGCTGCTAGAATGGTTGTGTCTTCTCCAGACAATTCTGGAAAAGAGGCAAAAACTGAAATACATTAACTGACATGACAACTGGGGAAAAGTCCTTCTGGCAGGTTAAAGAATTCCACTTATGATCATCTTCTAACTAATTATCATAAAACTACATTGCCTGATTGCTCAAGATTTATTTCTGTCAATATCAGTAAGTTTTAAAAGATGAAAAAGTCCTCAGTTAACTACATTCTCGTTGACTGCATTCGTGCACAATACTTGGCAGCATTACCGATGTGATTCACTTTCTTCCAGAATGTTCTTTCAACTTCCTGATTTAGAAACTCCAGGTAGTTCCCCCACCTAAGTACCAACCAGGATAGACCTTCCTTCTGAGATCTTCTGAGATCACATAGTGTTGGGTAGATATTGCCATTCACCGAGTGTCCCAATATACTCTGGGCAGTATTCCATTTTAAAATAACTTAAAGTGGATTCAAAAGCAGAATATACTGGGGTTTTGGCTTTAAAAAAAAAACTCTCTAGGGTTTAGCATTTTAGTTGCAAGTTATGCCAATATGCACTCAGTAGGAACTAGAAAGTGTGCTCCTAACTGAAGTATAGATGAGAGGTTTTTGAACACATTTCACCCTAGCAACAGCTAATCATCTGGAATCTATTAAATGATTGGCTTTGATTATTGGATGTCTTATAGTGTCCATAGCCAGCTTTACAGCGCTATAATTCCCCCAAAATGGTCTCCATTAATAAGGATTACTTTTCCCCATACAGCATCTGATGACATAAGATACAACTTTTGACACCGTAAAAAATATAAATGTGGTGTGGGAATATGAGAACCCAAATTCACATTTCTGCTGATTTATGAAGCCCTGAACATTTTGCAGGAGTATTGTAAAAGTAACACAGTAGACTTTTAGCTTTTCTTAAAGAAGTGGTAAGATGCCTATGTAATGAATTTTGGGGAGCAAAAATGAAAGCAATATTGTCCTTTTTTGTAAAAAAAATGTACGAAGTAGTTCTATAGGGCAGAATAAATAATGACGAAAAAGCAAACAGGACAATTGGTGACTACAAGTATGTTTTAAAAATGAGACTTTCAATGCAACAAAACAAGTGAATATTTTTTTACCGCTTAGAAAGGAAGAAAAAGGAGAGGAAGAGAGAATTGAGTTGTATTTTCAAAGCACCATTGTAAAAAAAAAAAAAAAGGAAAACGGTGAAGTACCAGAGAAAATTTATAATTCTTTGCCAGCGATTAAAAAATAGCTCCAATACTTATTTAGTTTTAGCACATAACTTAATATGTTGTTAAACATATTATGGCTGAGGCCTCCATACAGCCTGATTGGTTTTCTTAAGCACCAGGCACTGTGTCTCAACTTTTTGGTGAGCTAGAGAGATGTGACCTTGATTGATTGTGCTAATGAAGCAAGCCAGGCATGAAAAGATTCAGGAGTAAGAAATATATCTAACCTTGAACAAGGTTTATAATCTTGTGCTAAGTCAAAATATGGTTGATTTGAGACTTAGCATATAGTGTGAACCCAGCCATTGTGATTTATAAAACATAGTTTATGATGTGGCATGAGTGTAAAGCCAATTCAATAAATCATAGTTTAACAAAAAATAAAAATAATCTAAGCAATATCATCCTACATATGTTTATTCACACAACCCCATGGATACAAATGGGCTTATTCCCATGTAAATTTTCATAATGCGACAGCTTCAGTGCTTCCCATGACTGCTTTTTCTTCCATTAAATCTGTATAATCCATACCATGACTTTTGCCACCATATTCCCTCCAGATGGAAAAATTATCTCCCATTTAACATAATGACCAGCATGTGAGAGGGGATGCTTGGAATTGTAAACCAACCCATGTGGAGGGCATCATAGACTGAGGGTCAGCTTAAACGCTTGTCTTAATTCCTTCTAGTATCAGCACTGATGTTTCTGGACACAATGGAGGTGTTGCAGAAGGACCAACCAATTACCATCTTTCTCACCTACATCAAATGTCCCCTATTTTTCAATACAATGGAGGGTGCAATACTGAAACTCAAAACTCAGCCCAAGGAAATAAAGGAGTGGTAGCTACAAATACCTTGCTTGTGGTTGAGATGGTGGGAGAAGAATATGGTCTTCCTCCATGGTCTTAATTGCCTCAGTTCTGCAGAGTTCTGGCAGTGAGCTTGATGACTGGAAAATGGGAACTTTTAAAAAGTTTGCTGGGCTTTTCAAGTGGTTCTTGAAAGGCAAATGAAGGAAGTGAAAGTTGAAAGTAATAGGTAACTGGAAATACCCTTCGATACTCTGCCCACTTTATTATCATGAAGTAATCTAATTGGGCATTTTTATTTCAGATTTAATTTCTAAGAGATGTCATTGGCTACTCATATGACATCACCTGTTGGCAGGCAGCCTGTGGCTGTTCTTTGTTTCATCCAATACTTAGCATGCAATCTCTTTCTCAAACTGGCTTTTACCATAGGTAATGATTTTGTAGCTACTTCACCAAAGAATAAATGCTACTGGGAACAAAGAATTGTGAGATGTTAGGAGCTCTGTACAGATACATAGACATTCCTTTAAATTCAGGTCAAATAACAGACTGAATAAATTGTAGTTCATGTTCACAGCTTTTGTTCATGTAGATGTTGTCTCCCTATTCCAGATATTTTGACTCTTTCCATACACAAAATGGTGTCTTTTCCTGAGAGTACTTTTGCATGCGTTTTAATGAATGACAACTGACAGGAATCTAGCATCTAGTTTAGGATCCATTCCATCCCTCAATGAAAAAGCTTTTGTAGGTAAAATTCTCACTGAAACTTCAGCCCCGGAACAGGATGTGGAATTCTGAACTTTGAAGAGCCTTATCCTCAACTAGTTCTTGTTGGAAAATGATTGAGGGAAATTTCCAGTTTAGTTTGCAAATTCCTAGTCAATTCTTACATCCAGATCAGAGCAAGAATACACCACTCAGTTCAAAATCTATCTCTGTAACTATATCATTTTATTAAGTATCAGGAAATATCAAAACATTGACTGGCAAAAAACAATTAAAGGCAAAATCAAGAAAAAAGACATTAAAAGGCAAGAATTTACATTATCTATACATTATCTACCAAAAAGGATCACTCCAAAGAATTTTTCAGAACCACTGAATCAATATATTAAACAATTAGCAAGGACATCCAAAAAGGAATCATCTTTGGTTATTCCAGCTATAACTCATAATGGCAATGGAATAGAGATGGGAAGTAGGATATTAGTTGATAACTCCTTCATTCTGCATTGTGGAAATAACTGTTTTTGGATAAGGATAATGCAGTATTTCTCAATTTGAGATTAAGAAACATTGGAATTACAGTATATGCCCAACAGTTCTTATAGGCCCCTTAGCGGTGCTAAAACAAATAGCAGTATGGCTGTTATTTCATTTATTTTAAAATAATTTTTTGAAATAGATCAGAGGCTCAGTTTTGTCAGGCAGAAATTTTAAATTTAGGCTACAATTGGTAATAGACTAAGATACAAAGAGATGATCTGAGAATCTGGACAGTTTCCTAATTTGTAGTATTATATTATAAGATAAAATCCAGCATAACAAATAGATTTTGCTGGTCGGTTGGGCTTTCCACTCATCTTCTCTCCTTTGAAGCCCTTTTTAATCTAAAATCTACTTGAGATGAGTCCTAATCCTCAGCAGCAGGGTTTAAATTAGTGGTTCTCAACCTGTGGATCGCAACTCCATTTGGGATCGAACGACCATTTCACGGGGGTCGCCAAACAATGCAGTCCGCCATTTTTTATCCTCTTTTCCTTAGCTGTGCTACTCCCTTTTATTCTATTGGCTTTTGAAAGCCAATAGAATAGACTCTCTTGAATAGAGTCTAATTCTATTGGCTTTCAAAAGCCAATAGGAATTGTCCAGGCTGTCTCTGCCCTGCTGAGCCCGCCAAAAGTCCCATTCTGCAAACGGTGCTGCACCAGTTGAGTAGTCCTCGACTCACGACCGGTTGAGTAGTCCTCGACTTACGACTGGCTGGGGGTCGCGGCATTAAAAAGGTTGAGAACCACTGGTTTAAATAGTCAAATCAGGAGGCATAGTTTAATTTATATGCTTTCTTTAATATGGAAAGGCAACTTATTGCTAGGGAATACTTTCCCAATGGCTACCTGATCTGCATATTCAGTTGAGAGATGAGGCCAGAATATTCCCCTACTAAAAGTATCAGAAAATCAACTGGTCCCTGGGAAAGACAGGGACAAAGGAGATGAACACATGCTCCCATGGTTTAGTTAGTACTGTATACACATTCTGTAGCTTTCGTACATCACAGCAAGTTACTCAGTCCTTTGTGGCAGGTTTTCCACCAATGCTCAACACCTTGAAGACGACCTGGGGGTAACCGATGGGCTGCTTCTGAGCAAAATGGGCCTTACTGAGAGTAACGTTTTACAGTTCAGAATATAAACTTCACAAATGTGGGCGTCTTCCGTCTCCAAATCAAATACTGTATATTTCCTGGTGTTCCAAGGAAATACTCATATAGTTTAGATTTATGGGTTTAGTGGCTTTTTTGTCAAAAGATTGAGCCAGAGGAGAGGTTGGGAGCTCTTTCCAGGAGCTGCTAGTTTGGGCCACCTTGGCTCCCACTAATTTAATATTTTTTTAGCTTTTTTTTAATGTTGTTTGCATCCCACCTTTATGTTGGTCTATGAGTGTTAATAAAGATTTGATTGATATGCATGCAGTTTTCTCTTTAACAACAGAGACGTGGTTTTACCACCTTCTTCTTTCCAGTTTATTTTGCAGCGCTGGGATTTACTGATGGCCTCTCATCCAAATACTAACTAGGCCCAACCCAGCTTTTTTTCAAATAGCCATGGTTAGATAGTACTGCCACCTAGTGATTGTATTAAGGGGAAATGTCTTATTAAGGCAGGACAAGAAGCAACGGGTGGAAACTAAGCAAGGAGAGAAGCAACCTAGAACTAAGGAGAAACTTCCTGACAGTGAGAACAATTAATCAATGGAACAGCCTGCCTCCAGAAGCAGTAAATGCTCCAACACTGGAAGTTTTAAAGAAGAGACTGGACAGCCATTTGTCCAAAATGGTGTAGGGTTTCATGCCTGAGCAGGGGGTTGGACTAGATGACCTCCAAGGTCCCTTCCAACTTTACTACTATTACTATTAAACGTCTTATTAAAGAGAAATTTATTGAAGAGTAGGGACCATGAGGTATGTCTTGCTACCTCCAAGAGGTAGGAAATGCAGGCTTTTCTTCACTACCTGCTACTGATTAAATTAATACTAAAATAGAATGTTATTAGCAATAGTGGCAATAGCCAATACCAACTCCCTATTGAGGTGAATCTCAGCATCTCAATAGACATTGTGCTTGTTTCAGTGAGAAAACACTTATATCAGCTGATTTTGGAGCCGGTAAAAGGAGAATTCATTTACAGAGCAACCACAAAACATTTAGAACAAAACCATGATAGCATGCTGTGCGAGCAATGTGCTATATTCTCAAAAGCTTTATGTACTTACAACATTCTGTTGAGAATGAGTGTCTGCTTAGTAGCACTAAGCACTACTAACAAGTCACTTTTACATTAACAAGCATGCACACAAAAAGAGGAAATCTTTTTTTCAAGATGCCATTTTTCACGGAATGAGAGTATGAAGAAATCATGGGGATTGCTTCTCTAAACTATTTTCAGAAGGGGAAGCTGTCGCAGGTTTCTTTTAAGTATATTCAAGCCAGTGAGCTCCAAAACACCAGAGCCAACACAGCATACTGTAGCTCTCTCGGCTACACAAACATTCACAGGCTGGAACTCACTGCTCACTTACCCCACTCTTCCGAAGTGGTACTACATCTCCTACTACTGCTTCTCTCAATTACTGCTCCTTGCAAGTCCTACTACTGGAGAACAGTATCTCTATCTGCTTTGTTTATTTCTACACAGTCACCACCAATAGTCTCTCCACACTTTTTATAGCCAACATTGCTGTGATGGCTGGGCAGAGGGCTTAAAGCAGCGTTTCTCAACGTTTGTGTGACGGCGACCCCCGCCACACAAATGCGCAGCGGCGCCCCCATGTGCGGCGGCGCCCCCTGAGGGGGGAAAATGGTGGATCGCATTGTTTGGCGACCCCCGTAAAATGGTCAATCAACCCCAAATGGGGTCGCGACCCATAGGTTGAGAACCGCTGGCTTAAAGAGACAGGTCAACAGCTGCACAGGTGCTGTCCATCTTCTAGGCAGCCTCCCAGAAGCAAAATAGTTTACATACGATTTCTCCAAAAGGCAAAGATGGAACCAAAAGAAGATGGTAGCTAGGGCAAATGGTTTTTATGGCACACATCTCACTGCCAGAAAAGAAGTAGAGACTGAAAGGTATGAATTTTTATTTAAGGGTTGTATCCAGTTTAAAAAAAAAATAACTCCTATTGTGAAGTATATATTAGATTTAAGCAGCTAATGTTTCTGTTTTTCATTGAGATTCAGCCCCATTCCTGCTATTTTATCAGTTATTTATATTTAAAAGATCTATGAAATGCAGCGATTAAAAAAACTATCACTTTTGGGGGGGAAGTTTCATCTATTTTCTGTCCATCAGAAAAAAAAAAAAGGTTTCAAAATGGTGCCAGATTCCATATCTAGACTGGAGCTGATTTACCTACCAACGTCAGCTATGGACTAGATAGAAGATGTTGAAAATGAAAATTCAGCTCATTTTCCCATTCTGGTTATCTCCCAGTTGTACTAAGCTATAATTTATACCCCAACAGTATAAACTTGAAATATCTTGGAATTTACATATTTAAAGTTAAGCATCGAACAAAAATCTAGTATCAATTAAATAATCCTGCTGTGGAGATGATCTAAGAGCACCAGGCCTGATGGTCAATTAAAAAAAGAAAAAAAAAATCTCATGGGCAGGGTTTTTTTATTGTGAAACTTAACAGTTCAATAGCCTAAATCAGGGGTGTCAAACTCAATTTTATTGAGGGCCGCATCAGCATTGCGGTTGCCCTGGGAGGGAGGGGTGTGGCCAGGGTGGGTGTGGAGTGGATGTGGCCTACTGGGTGGGCATGGCCAGCTCTACATTGTTCACGTCAAGAGTGCCTGTGGGGGCCTGGGCAGGAAGGGGATAGATCCGAGGGTCTCTGGCAGAAGGGGGTGGGACCGGGGCAAGTGCCAAGGCATGGTCCATTTCTTCATTCCTCACAAAAGGTGACACCTCCCCAGCATG